TTTTCAATTACAACACGTATTGAAACTGAGAAGTCAGAGTCTTCCCTGTTTCCATATCAACTTCTATTAGGATGGGGATTTTCAAATGCACTCAGCACTGACCTAAACTCTGCTCCCATTTAAGCCACTGGTAAAATTCCCATTGAGATCAATGGAAGCAGAGTTAGGCCAATGAGAAGTGCTTCTGAAAATCCCACCCTTAGCTTTAACTGTTGCTAAAGAGAATTCTGACACTTGATGAAACTAAGAGGTTACACTACAATTACTTGCCACCAGAATAGAAAGGAGAAATGCAAACACATCGATGACATCATGCATATTTATAAGATTTCCTATGCAAATAACCCTTCAAATAGATCAGTTTCTAGTTGACATGAAAGTATACTGCATTTGTCAGTCAGAATCATTTTCAGATTCGTGGGTTCACTGTTTAAGTGTTTATTCCCCAGCGTCTTCCTCAAGGCTGATTTATAAACCTCTCTAGTTAAGATTTTGCTAATGTACTGGATTATAGCTTTCCTGGTATTCTTCCCAACAATACCTTTTCCAGATTGCAATCTTATTCATGAAATATGATCAAAATACTTCAACTTCATGTGCTGGATACATCAACAGAAAACCCTTTTGTGCCTCCCTTTTACCAAAGAATCCCCCAAATGGTTTTATATTCTCTACAATATACGTGGAGCAGATGTCAATAGAATCACTTAAGTGATGTCAGTTGACTGATCCTATTTATTTCCTCTCCATGTCTCATAGGAATTACATAAAGCACTGAAACACTCTCAGCCAATCATACAAACAGTATTATACTCCTGCCAAAAGCACTAGTTATGAAGCAAAAAAATAATCTTAAGGAAAGAAACAACATTGTATTCACCTGAAAGAGTAAGATGTTGCATTATAAATTTTCCCTTCAGTAAAACGGGTGGGGAGGGGGGCATGAAATTGAACTACTTAGTTTAATTAATATTCAGAAAACGACTGAGGACTTAGAGGAATTTCTTTGCTTATTTACATATTAGGACAATACAGCTGTAGGAAGGTTAAAGGATTAATCTAACTATTTTTGATCTACCAACCAATCTTTCTAGCGTACTATCCTGTACACGGACTCTACCTAAACAAATCTGATATTTTTGCTGAATGTGCACCTAGAGTAGATCATGATCCTATGGACCTCAAGAACATTGGCAAGGACAATCTGTTTTTCTCCTTCTCCCCTGCAACAGCACTTTCAGACCTAAAGGAGCTGTGGGGACAATACCAATCAGCAGGAGTAGCTGTAGTATTAGAAGAAACAATACCAGTGACAGCTGAAACTCCTAATCCCCAAACATATATTCCAGATAGAATCCAATGGAGGAGATTTGGGGAAAAGAATGCACAGCTGCATTTCTAAAAAGGAAGGAAATATCAGGAGGAAAAGATGTATACTGTATGGGTGATCTCTCTTATACCTGTCATAAAACAAAGTTATTTGACACAGAAAGAGTTTCACCTCAATGTCGCCAATACATTGAAGACTATTTGAGGTACCTGCTAAATAGCGGCAGCAGCAGAAGGCCTGTGAAATGTGTTGACCCATTCAGTGCATCAGACGTGATAAATTTCAGTCTTATCAATCTCCCTTTTCTACTGTGGGGAGAAGAAGTTTGAGACACAAGAAATTAGAGTGGGTGTTAATTTGTAGGCATTGGGTGTTGTAAGGGAAGGTGAAAAGACAAGTGTGCTTCTATTCTGCAGTGGTTGTCCCACTGAGAGGACATAGTTGTTAGTGGTAGTAATGCCTAAGTATTAGAATTAAAGGTCAAAGTTCTATCCTCTAACAATCATGACTATTGAATACATGAGGTGGAATACTATCTGTGTCTACCTAACTCCAGCTTAAACAGCTGACATGATCTGTATTGTCCATTAGTGACACTAGGTCAAAAGAAAAGAAAAGGAGTAGTATTTGACTAAAGCACCATAGCTAATGTTGAAGAGATGTATAAGTGGGTATTTAACACACATTCTCTTTTGCTTTAAAAAAAAAAAAAAAAAAAGATGATTACTCAGGAAGCCTTGCTCTCCCGGTATATAATATAAAGTGTTCACATGTAAGGTATTAGTATTTGTGCAACGGCTTATCTTACCAGCATATATACAGAACTAATAAAGACCAGAACCTGTGATAACAGTATACTGTAAATACATTACATACCCCGCCCCTCCACCCCCCCAAAAAAAACCCCAACCAAAAAACCCCCAAGTCTTTAGTAGCTCTTTCTCCTCCTAAGTGATTCCTGGTAATGTAACTGAAATAAATTCCATCTTATTATATACAGAACACTAAATTTTTTGTTAATTAACAAGATTGCTTGCTCCCTCCATTACCCAATGACAAATTTGTCATGCTTAAAGTTATATTTAGCCTAATCTCTACCTGAAACACTTATAGTGCTATTTAATTTTTCTGGAGTTCTCAAACAACCTTGCTAGCTATATGTCTATAAAAAAAATCATTTGTGGAAGAAATCATTTCAATTGAAAACTCAATTTCCCCCCAATTATAGCTGCTTGGTTAGGGCATCTATAGCTATATCTCACAAGAAACAATAATTTGGCCAAAACTCAATGCCAGAAATATACATAAAAATTATTAAAAATATGGACTATCCCCTGAGTTAGAGTTTTGTTTAATTTGCACTTCATTTTAGGTGTTTATCAGCAGTTCATTTTTCCTATAAGCTACATGGTGATTTTCCTGGACACAAGAACCAGTTGGTCAGGCTGCTGAGAAATATGTCTGTGTTTAGGAAAAGATTAAAAACTAAGGCCCAACTGCAGACCATTTATGCATACAATGACTGCAGCCAATCTTCTCCCTGAGAAGAGTGTTGGCTACTGTTATCTGGAAAAAGCCGCAAATGTCAATCTTGTATGAAAAAAATGTAACTTAAAGACTAAACTGTTTACATTATGGTAGACACTTCTGTCTAAGCTAGCCAATGAACTACACTGAAATAGGAAACTCAAATTATAATTTATATGCTTCATTTAGATGAACAACCTACACTTCCAGAGCCTTACTTGTGGTAAGAGTCAACCTTATTTATTTTCTACAATGACTATTACTGGGGCAATAACAAAGAATGATCCTTTAGTAAATTCTGTGACTTGAAAAGTTCAGGTTCAAACATTAATTTTGAACAACAGGTTTAGTTTACTCAGTACAGGATGTTTATTTTTAGTAAAAGGTTTTGAGGGTTTTTTTCCTGGTTCCCATGGGAGTGGGAGAAGATGCACAAATGCACATTGTCAAGAACCAAAAAGGACTAAAATGTCTTCTTTGTTTCTGACGTAAAACTACTATATTGTTGGAATAACTAAATCTTTACTGTGAGGATTTGTTACGTTACTAAACAAACCAACCAACCTTACACTCTTACTATGCCACACCCGTAGTATTGACAGCTTATTTGTGAGGGAAGTTCTGATTAAGAACTGATGGTGTGCTACAGCCCTATATTATCCACATTACACAGCTGCAATAAGAGTAGAATCTCATTCACCTTCGGTTCTGTCAAGAGTCATGTTCTAGAAGTTTTGGAACTAATTTCAGATTTGCTTTGCCCACCAGTGAAGAAACCATGTTTTAATCAGTTTAAGAACTATATTCCAGACTGATTTTTGAAAACATGGAACCAGATCCTTGGTCCTGGCCACTTTGCATTGCTTCAGGAGCAGCAGAAAGCAATAAAAAAAATCTACCCTGAAGGGGCAGTTGAGAATTCCCCTTCTACCCATAATGGGAATGCCAAAATGTAGGTTATGGTGCTCTGCCTGATCTTTAGCCAGTGCAACAGTCCCTACAGAACCACTACCCCTTGCTGACTTAGAAAAGCCCTGTGGCTTCTTTAAGGTATGCCAGGCCATTTCAGTTGACCAGTGGTAAACTCAGCGCACGGAGGATTGAACTCTTGGTTTCTGAGAATCATTTTCAAATGTTGTTTGACATCGGCCATGCTGGCAACTCATGCACTTTCAAAATCTGATTTAAGGCGAGCAATGTTCGTACTGTATTGTGAAATGGTAATTTGAACACAATTGCCCTCTTCTATTGTAGACTGTGCCTTAGAGGAGTTGTTGAAATTTCTTAAGTTATTCTCCATCTCTTGAGTTCTACTTATCTACTAGGCAAAATTAAAAAGGATGAGAGTCAGATTCTATGGACTATTTGAGTGATTGGTTTGTTTAAAATTAAGTGGGGCTTATTGTTGAGGATTTTACTGAAAGGCCACTTTTCAAGGTCCTGAGAACCACAGTCCCATCTATTGAGAGCTGCAATGCTAAATAAATTGGAAAAGCAAGTCATATCTATCAGATTTCAACTACTCCATGTCTTAAGCAAGGTTATTCAAGGAGTTTATTGTCAGATTATGAAATATCCACTATAAATCTATTGGTCCTCACTAGCTGGGGCAACCAGAAAAATATGAGAGTTGCTCTCCTACTGCCCATTGAATCTGTTTCACATTTGAACAAGGCAGTTTGCACAGTAGTATAACCTTGGGCATCCATTAAAGGGTTCATAAAGTATAACAACAAGCCTTCGGAGGATACAGAAGTTAGGCAACAGGGACAAGAAACCTGTAAAAGTCTTCAAGGACTTGCACCAATGACGGTCTTATTACAAAATAATTGAGGTTAAGACAAAATGAATCTAGAGTGAATGAAAAGTGTGCATATGCTGCAAATTGGGACAGTTTCACAGTAAAACTAAATGGGGGAACCTGTAATGGTTACAGTGAAATAAAAGTGTTAGAATAATTCACTCAGTGCACTACTTATTATTTCAGTAGATAGCTTTTACTAACCAAAGATGTTTAGATTTGTTTGATGACTATTTATGGTCATACATTCCTATTATAGAACAATGGCTCAGTAAATTTTAATAGAGCATTCAGTTTGAAAATGATGGCTGAATTTTGGGAGTTATGAAAATGGCTGATGTTAAAGAAGAGGTTTTGTTTGTTTGTTTGTTTTTTAAACCAAACATTTAGGTCTATTTATATCAAGGGGCAAAAAATCAGACTGGAAGAGAACATGCCATCCTTGTTGGCCAGTAATATATGAAGAACAAGGCTTTACTAGAGAATAATGCATGTGTGGATATTTAATAGTGGGGACAATTAATGATCAGTGGATCAAAGCAGTATCATAACAGCAAAAGTTGAAATCACTTTAAAATTCATTAAACCTTTTCTTAATCTCATTCTGATACTTAACCACAAGCTGTTAACTTGTTAACACTGACTGCTAGAACATCTTCATGAAAAAAGGAACACAAAAATCATCAAGGACAGATCAGAAATAAAGAAAGAATTGGCTGTTACTTAAGACCACAAAACAATGTACAAAGATTGCACAATTGCCATTTTAACTTTTTTTTTTTTTTAAGTCTTCCAATTTTTATACATTTGCAAAATTCTGAACTGGGGGTAAAGGTAAAGGTGCTCTTGTTTGAGGATTTTCTTGTTAGAAAGAACAACCTGTTCAAGGCATCTGTGTACCTTGGCACTGAGAAGCACTTAGCACAACTCTGGCTGCGGAGCATGATTTTTTCCAGGAACTTTGACAGATGGACCTATGGAATAGTGAAAAAGAGTACATTGCTAGAAATAGGATGCATGGCAGAAAAAAAAATCACAACTCTTAACATCAACATCACTTTGAACTATATAGCATGAAGTGGACACAGAAATGCAGGATTTAACAGTAGTGTGTGAGACAAAAGAAAGGAGCAAAATTTAAGTCGATAGTCTTGCAAGGTCTCAGTGTCACTGTAACATAGGATGAATATTAGTTTGATGAAGAAATTCAAACAAAGAAGCCCATCCAGCACCAGCTTCCATATTTTGTTACAGTACTGATAAAACTTTGAAGTACTTTGAGAGAGGAGGATTTCAAAAAGAGTTAAACATTTAAGACTAGAATAAAATGGAGCCTAAATAAATGAATAAGGAAAGGAATTGATTGGCTTAAAATTAAAGAACTCCGAAAATTATACCTACAATCTTAGAGAAATTATTAGTACTCCACATTTTCAAAGCATAAGGCAAACAACTGATCAATCCTCAAAATGCTCCCATGAGGCAAACAGGCAGGCATCACTCTTCTTTTTACAGATGGTGAAAACTGAGGTACAGATGTTACTGTATATTAATTAGCCAAGGCCATACATCTGAAAACTATGTAATTCTGAATCTTAACTTGGCATAATATGGAAATGGAAACATTACTCTGTAAAATCAAGCCCATCCATACTATACCGGTTATCAAAATAAAATGCACCACTATAATCTATTCACATGCAAATCAGAACTCCACCTATACTCCTCGATATGTTGATAATACTCAAATTACTGCAAATTTGGCATAAAACAAACTGCTGGATTTAGTTTACATCTACCTCCCTATATACCTAAGGTTGGGATAATCCTATTTCATACTGTCTTCCAAGCAAACATTTGCTCTCATTTGATCAGTTCGAATATAAAGTTTCTATACAATAAAGAACTATACAATACATACTATACATACAACTATACAATACAAACTATACAATAAAGAACAGTTTACCACCTTATAGTAACTGATTCTTCAAGATGTTCTGTGTACCTGGATCCCACTCAGATGCAGCAGGTGTATATACACCATGGGCGGGAGCCACATTCACAGAGACTCAACAAAGAAATACATTTTCTTGTATAAGCCAAGTTCAGGACTTTGCACGAAAAGCTTTTTCCAGCTTTTCTCTCCCTGAAATCAAGAGTCTTTGACCAATACTCAAGGCTCACATATAATCCCAAACAAATTATCTCTAAATTCTATTCAATTTTCTGACCTACACTAGAACAGAAATATACAGATTAAAATTCATGGGCAGTCTTGGAACATATCTATTAAAAATATACCTTCAGTGACTTATTGCAGGTCAGTGATTAAACACAATATTATGTCTTGTATAAATCATTACAAACACAATACGGCCACAGTTGTCTTTCTGATGGCTCAAGGGTGTGTCACCAAAAGCCATATTCTTTTACTGCATTTGAGACTGCCCAATTACCATCAATTTTTGGTCCTAATTTCAACATGTATCCCCTCAAGATCGCAGGCAAAAACAGCTCTACTGCACCAGAATTTTAGCTTTGTCAGTGATGTCACTTTAGTTATGGGAAAAACTCCAGTGGGAAAATAAAGTGCCTTTTTTCTCGGACTGAAAACAATGATAAATTAAAATTTATTTGTTACAGTTCCAATGTATACAATTCCAATGTAACAAATACACCTGCCAGGGAGACAGGTTTCAGATGTGCTTAAGATGCAGAGAGCATTTGTATACTGGAGTGTTTTTTTCAAAGCTGCACCAGTACCTCATGTTAATAGGTTAAAAGAGCGGCATAACACCCACTTCTTAGAATTCACAACATGAGCTCTACACATCATCTATGGAGTGCTACAGAAACAAACAACACTCCAGAAGATTACACCATGGGGAAATCAAACACTAGCAGATGAAATATATAAAAAGGATCTCTCCCCTCAGTAGAGCCACCTGGAGACAATAATTCCATTTCATGGCAACTTTCTAGGGTTCAGAATGTTTTCATTCCACATTGGAACAAAACAGAAACCTTTCCAATGTTTTTGAAAAACAGAATTCTGTCAAAATATCCACTGTGGGTTCAAAACCTGAGCAGAGGATGAGTGTACTCTCACCTTCTACAGAATGGTGGTTAGGGCTCTGGCTGAGAATGTAGGAAAACCAGGTTCAAGTCCCTGCTCTGCCTGATTCGGAGTGATCTTGGATGAAAAAACTCTAGAATCAGCCAGAGCAAGGACTCAAACCTGCATGTCCCACATCCCACGCCAGTAGCCTAAACGTCACCATGCTACGGAGTGTGTTAGTCTCTTTCTGGTTAAAAGTGACCAAAGAACCCTGGACCCTAAAAACTTTCCCCGTGAAAACTTCTTCAAAATTTATGTGTGTTCATGAAACATTTTAGCTTTGAAAAGCCCAGCATATTTCTGACCAGCTGGTGAGCTACTCAATAATATAAGGAAGAAATATATTTCTCCCCAAGGACCAGTGTAAAGTTATGAAATGTAATTCATAGAAACAGCATAAAAACAAGAAAGTGGGACATACTTAGTAATAATGGTGACTAAACCCCCCCCCCACATATGCACAGATCACAGCTACTATAGAGAATTAAGAATTAAATCCTGCCCCCCCAAAAAGCATTACTGTATTGAGACCATTTAGGTCTAGGGGAGTTAGGTCAGGACCTGAGCGAGATACTATTTCTGGCATCTCTATTAGAATAACTAAGCCAATATGATAAAGCCTAAAGTGCATTCTAAGGCCATATACTGCAATGGTTTCCTTACTAGCTATGCTTCACAGCATTCCAATATTAAAACCCAAGAAGCCCTCTACAGCAACCCCAAGTAAGATTAACAAAAGGGCTGTGACTCAGATTACATTTCAATAACTGTCAGATTTTTATGGTTATTACACAAGCTAAGCATATTCTAAATAATTTTTAAAAAATACTGGATGACTGCTATGGTTTTGGGGGTTTTTGTTAAACTGACTCTTCAAACAAGCATGCATGTTTCAGTTCACATTTACTAGAAGATTTAGAACCCAGTCCAAGATCAACTGCAATTTTAGGAAGAGCTCCTGCTTCAGTGTTCCACTTTAATACAATTATGCTTCATTATCCCTTGCATGATCATGAATGTCATAAGAATTGAAAGGTGGGATTCTTTTGTATGATCTATGAGGGGGGAGAGAGAGAGAGAGAGAGACTTCAGTTAATTTCTTTAAATTATATAAATTAAAAGAAAGGTATTCAGGAAAGGAGTGCCTGTTCTACAGTGGACTGATTTTTCTTCTCTTTTAAAGAAGCATCTCTAATAACTTTAAAGCGTGAATAGCAGCACAGTAAATAGATAAAAACAGCAGTCATGTAAAACATCCACATTTTGAAACCCCGGAATTTTTGTTAGGCAAGTTGAAAGAAACTAGTTGTGATAAAAGCTGTTAGGAAGAACATTCTCTAATGTCTAACTCGTGGTGGGGAGGAGAATCGCCAACTGTTTCATTACCAGTCATGGAGATCTACCAGTGTGTTAGTATACATGGGATACTAGAATTTTTACCTTTAGTCACCACAATGATAAAAGTGGCATTGCTCATCTATGCTAGTGTTCCTGTTGTTGCTGCTAACAGTGGAGCTGCACTTTTGGGAGCATGCCACTGGTATATTTACCCCCCCCCCCGCCATCGAATAGTAAAAATGCCAGTGCTCCATCTCTGAAATTTCCACAGATGGATTTCTACCAAAAAATTCTAGTGCAGACACATGTAAAGACTGTTAAAAGATGAACATTCTCTATCATGTATAGTTTCTTCTGACTCAGAAAAAAAGTCCTAAGGTTTCAAAATAAGGAATAATATGAGGCACTTCTCAACACCTGCAATCCAAGAATCGCAAAGCACTTTACAAAACTCAGGTGTGTTACGGGAAAAAAAAAGTCATCCCACGATAATGGCATCAGGCGAAAACTAAGGAAGTAGTAAAGGAAAGTCTAAATATGCTAAGTTTGAAAATTGGAAAGTGTTGGACAATTGTGTATTTTGAAATGTGCAGTACTATTTTGAGGAATATTTTAGATTGCATGTTACTTTGTCAGAGACACAAAGTTTCTTTTAATATTAATATTAAGCTGCATCAAGTATGCATCAACTTCTTAAATCCTGAACACAAATGTTTGTTTAAAATTGTTCTCCTCTTTCTTCACACTACAGCACAAAACATTAGGGTTTTTTGGTACTGAACTATGGAAACCACACACAATGGACTTTGTTTGCACCCTAATTTCCATGCTAAATTACCAGTTAGAAGCCTATTTCAATACAATATATTAAACAACGAAAAGTTGATACTCAAAACATTGTCATTACTGTTTCAAAGCAAAACTGACTGTCGGTACTCTGTATCAAAACAATTTTATTCTAAATTGCGAAAATACTTCGAATAAATATGCACCACAAGATGGTGCTATAATTTCTATTTACTGCACACGACACACAATCTCAGATCAGTAGGAAATTTTTCTTCTCTCTCGAAGAAACAATTTAAAGAATTATTCTTTAGGATAGTGGAGTAGTGGGTTGTGAACAAGGGGTATTTCCAAATAAACTTTAAAGTAAGTTGCCATCATGAGTGTAAAGCTTGCTTTCCAGGGAATCTGCAATTTAAGTATACTGGAAAAAAATGGGAGTTTATTACAAGTACGTTCATGTCCTTAAGCTTTTCACTGAGTTTATGGAGCAACAACAGATTATTGTATGTTACTCAGTTTGGATATGTAAAATGAAATTAATCACATATTTATGGAGGAACATATTCAAAATTATTATCATCATCAAATAAATCATTTTTAAAAAGGAAGAGCAAACAGATGCTCCATCTGAAAATTATACCATTTAAATCTTGATATCTTCAGCAGTTGCAATGTCATTTTTTGATCTTTTCATGTGAATCCAAGTAATATGGATAGCTACAGCATGTTGTAAAAAGGTTCCTTACATAACACTTTAAATAACCAGTAATTTAGAAAAGAAGGATGAAATACCATCTCTCTATCCAGCCCACACTGACACTTTTGATTTGACTATATCAAGTTTATGGAAGTCTTACATCTACTTATGTCTCAAAAGAGAAATTTTATATAGTTTCAAATCATAAAAATGTTGTACGTCTTTGTACACTGGATGGTCTCCATCTGTGCTGCCGGTCTTAAAATGTGTTGGGTAATAGAGCACTAAAACACTCACCACATCTCGCATAGTCAAAGTCTGTGGACTTACTTACACATTTTAGTGTTTAGGATCCAAATGACCTTCACTTTGTCAGTGTTAATGGAAGCCATAATGTGTTGGGGTGCTTTCTGACTAACCATGAAAATTTATAATTAAAAAAACAAAACAAAAAAGGTACACATTTACAATATGTGCATTTAAGTTTTCATTAAGTCTTATTGAACAGTACAGATGGCAAGATGGTATGTATGAGAGTCTCTTGGGTGCAATATGCAAGTCCCAGCTGGAGTGTTTCCAACAGGATGTAAACCATGGTCCTCAAGCCTGCACTTTAAAAAACATATTACTTAGCACGTTGCCAACAAATGTCAACACAAAAACACACTTCTGTAATGACTTCAACTCCACAAAAAATGCAATTTTCTATAGCAAAAAGTTAAAATTAATGTAATCATGACAAAGGTATGAGAAAACATTTATTCTTCAAGTAAAAATAAAAACATTTTAAAACAATTATAGTCCTTAAAATGGATAATATATTCAAAATAACTTTAAAATTGTACAAATTTACATAATAGTTTTGAGATCCAGAAGTCTAGACAGAAAATGGTCTACGATGTGTTACTTGAATTTTTCAGCAATTCTGAAGTTTCTTCAATCCTAAAAATATTTTTAAAATTGGTTAAAACAAAGACTAAAACAAACATTTACTACTAATTAATAAAGCTAAAGTAACAAAGCAGCATTCCTGACTTTTTGTTTGTTTGTTTTTACATTGGTCAGGCTATTAGATTTGCTGTTATTTGAGAGACATTTAAAAAAAATATACATAGAGAAGGCACAAAATTCACAAAAATAAAGTTAATGGAGGAGATAATTGACACTTTGTAGATCTCAAATTAGCTTTAAAAAGGCTGTCACCATCAGAGAGCTTAGGTTTTTGCGAAGTGGCAGACAAGATTAATGACTTCAACTTCCTGAAGTAATTCATTTGTATGATACAGAAATCTTGTTGAATAACAGTTGCACTGTGATGATGCATTTTATTTTACTTCAGCAAGTGTAATGAGTTATTTCTACCTGCAAATTTTCATTATAAATCTCAGAACCAGCAGTAGATTCTGCTTATTATTCTGAGGTATCTTTATGTGATGCCTGGCCTGAAACTGGCCTACCTCTTTTCATTTAATATTTCACCTCAAAGTTTGAACACAAATGTTATGTAGTTCCAGTAAACTCTTATCAAAAGACAGATAATACTCCTATTAGTTGTCAACCAAATTCTAAACACTCTTTAATCCCTAGTTAATACCATTAAGAATGCATTATATTGCTTGTTAAAAACCAAAACAGTGACTCATCCCACAAACACAGAACTGTAAGTGGATTTATTATCCAGTGGAGTCATAAGGAAATGCCACACCTGATGTAGAGACCTTTGAGGTTTGGAACACATATGCACATTCTATATATGCCTTAGTCCAGTACAATTCCCTACTGGGAAATGAATTCCTGCTGCCCTTTTCTATTACTTACATTTTACTTATCCTTTCCATTCTTTGTCTTGTTGTCTCCTGCAATTGAAAAGCAACATATTTAGGCAATTCTTCAAAGCCAACAATCTTCAGAAATGGACTTTTAACCTGGAGAATTCATGCAAAAAAATTACTTTAAGCACTGTTTACATATCAAAAGGATTTTTATGAGACAGACTTAGATGAAGTTTTGCATAGTTCTGCTGTTTTTTGCCAGTAGTATATACAACGAAAACTAATGCTTACTTGTTCTCTTGACCTTAGAAAGGAAATCAACTAAGCATTTGCCAGTTTTACTTACCTTTGAAATCTCTGTCAAACCATGATAATTAATGGTTGCGGCTTTGGGAGATGGGTCTGTGGATAATAGTGAACTGTATCCAGACGACTGATGAAGACTCTCTGGCATCTCCTCCTTCCTCTCAATATCTGTGGAGAAATATTCATTTTTAGGTTTTGCCTTTTTGCTCTCTTGCAGCAGGGTCAGCTATCGAACAGTTTGATTTACAGTATGTAATAACAGAAGAGAATGCATTGTTTAGAAAGAAAAAGGCTACTGGTAAAGGTCCAAGATGGGTTTCTCATATTCTTTTAAAATAACATGAACAGAGTATGCTCAGTATGATGCAGACAAAAAAGAAATTCTAACAAAGATTATCCAGGAATGTTGCATTTGTCACGATTATGGTCAATTGAAACACTTAGGCAAGTACAATTACTAGGCAAAACATTCAATAATAATTTCAGACAGCTCACATTTGTTTTCTTACTATAAACCACTTGTCTCATACAGCTGTGGGATCTTTTAAACTTAAAAAAAAGTTTAAGCAATATAGTAATTATCTTTGTAAACATATTTTACTATAACATGAAAAGCTTTTCCAAACATGTTTTTAATTCTTCTGTTCAGTAAGTGATTTACAGTATAAATAACTGAAATACAAACAAAAATGTAGTCAGTTTCCAATAATCTAGGGCTAGTATTCATTCAGCAGAGCCAGGCTTTAAATGTTTGTACAGCAGTAAGTGCCAGTTTCAATAGGAGCAGAGCTAGGGCAACATATCAAACACATTAGAAAATCCCTACCCTTTGTATCAGGAAAAGCCTGATGCTATCCTAGCATTTTAAAAAAAAAAGTAACTATTTTAAAAATCTGTGTTCCTGAGGAAAGCAAAAATTCCCATTTAAAAAAAGGTGGGGTTTGTTTTTTTGGCTTTGGTTTTTTAATTAAAGCTACAGTCTATGGATCCAGGTTACAAGTCCCGAGTCCTGCATTCAGAAAACAACATTGTAAACGGCACTATTTAGTAGTGGATCTCAAAAGCTCCAGATGGCAGCTGATCTATATCATGTGATAAGGTAAATAAATTCAAACTTATATAGCCCACTAACACAAATTTACATATTCTGACAAAACAATTGTGGGTATTAGAGCAAGCTTGATATGTAGGACAATCTAGAAAAATACTACAGAGGTAAATGGTGTATAAGATTTAGTTTGCCACTTCACTTACCAGGCATCACAGTCAGAGACAATCTTACCTTTACTCTGCTGTCTACAAAAATTATGTAAATTAATTAAGGCTATGACTCATTAAAAATATGATTTTGACTTGAGAAAGATTTTAAACTACAGACAAAGGAGTACTTGTGGCACCTTAGAGACTAACAAATTTATTAGAGCATAAGCTTTTGTGAGCGATGAAGTGAGCTGTAGCTCACAAAAGCTTATGCTCTTAATAAATTTGTTAGTCTCTAAGGTGCCACAAGTACTCCTTTTCTTTTTACGGATACAGACTAACACGGCTGCTACTATGGAACTACAGACAGTACCATAAACATGCTGGGTAATATATATTCCTGCACAGAACACTTTAAGGGGAAGTTTAAGTTGTAGGCGCATCTCAGTGCTTTAAGTGTATATTACCAGATAAGACTAAGTGGGAGAATTAGGAAACTAAGGATGGATCAGACTTGGGTGAGTGGCAAGGCAAACCACAGTTTGAGAGGCAATATGGATGAAGTCTAAGTAGGAGAGTGAGTGAAAAATTCGATTCAGTTTTCCACATTTGTACCACTACTTCCCTGGCCTCAGTGATGGGGCTGCCCAGAGGGGGGTATTTACCTGAGAAGATACTTAGTGTTACTTTCTCCTGGGTTCCTTTGTATTTAGGAATTAGTTAACTTCAAAAGCTTGCCGTGTACACTTTCAGAAATTTACTTGGCCACTACCCACTACTTTTACTAGTATTCTACAGTTTGTTAAAGGGAAAAAAAGGATAATCTGGGTCTCTGAATATCAACTAAAAAAAAAATAAATAAATCACATGTGTGTCCCAGGACTTTTTTTGAGCTTACTATAAACAAAAAGAAAGAAATATTTTTCTCTAATAATTGATTATCTTTGTGAAGATAGACACAGCAACACAGGAGAGGGGAGAAAACACATCACATTTTATCAAATAGGAAATGTACATAAAAGCCCCAAAACTAACAAGGTGATTTCAGGGGCTGGCTCGTACCTGAAACAGCTGAACTTAAACAAACAAACAAAAAAACTAACTATATTTCAAGTTGACAGTATCCATTTAAACAACTTAAAATCCTAACTGTGACACAATTTTATGCAAGGTTAGCAAAAGCTACTTAAAAGAAAACCATTTCAGTAAAGAGCATTGCAAACACTCACCAGGAGAAACTGGAGTCATATTCCTACTAGAGGTATGGTCTTCACTCATATTGTTAAATTCTGTAGATAAGTCACTCTGAAACAATAATTGTTTTTGCCATTTACAAAAAAAAAGTGATTATAATTCAGAATTATAATCAAATAGTGAACATATGCATATCTATGTACAGTACTGACCACACTTTTCTAGCATTTGGAAGTAGCTTTATGTGATTACTCCTATGAGTAAAGCATGCAAAATTTACCCTTTATATTAGTATACCCATTTATGTCATAAAAAATGGTCATTTCATTAAAGCATTTTGTCTTTTGAAATACCAACTTTGCTGTAAAATCCGAGCCCAAAAGTTTCACAGTGGAATGCCTAACAATCCAGGTGTGATTGTTTGATCAGGCAGAGTGGTGTTTATTAAAACACTGTGCATCAACAGCTCTGAATGACTGATTACAGGTGGCAGCAAGTGCTCTGCTCCTCTGACTCTCTGGTAGCTGATTGGAGGTCTATTGCTGGATTTGGTTGTCTAATTTTAGATAATCAAGTTTGAAAATTTTAGCTAAAATACCCACATGGCTCATGATACAAATGATGAGAAAAACAAATTTTATACATTGTCAATATTAATCCTATATTTTCTTCTTCAGGATTAATTTGCTAAGAAAATAAAAAGTTAGTTTTAGAGTTTTTCCTTGACCATCAAAAGTTACTGTTTTTCCTTTCAGAAACATGAACTTATGTTTGTCTATTTTAGACCCGGATCTTGCAAGCTAATCGATGCAGATGGATGCCCCCACCCTTGTGAAAACCCTCTGGGACTAGAACTGTTTTCATTTCAATAATGCACCATATGAATTTATGGAGTAGGGTGTGTGCACATGTAAAATGTACATTCTAAGAGCCACATATATTCTAATACAAAAACTTCATTAAACAACATTATTTTGGTTACAAGTCAAGAACTCAAAAGTTAGCAAGTGCCAGATTTACTGCTGTCAATGCAACCTTAATTCTGCCTGCTAGCATCCATCTTGTACACTAAAGATGTAGGGGTCCTGTAGAAAAATAGCATATGATCATGTAATTGAAGTCTGTATCATAAAGTGAACGTACAAGGAGCAGAATTAAGGTTGCAGTGCCAACTTTTAATCTAGATTTTTGTATGTAATTTCCTAGTTTGATTTAAAGGAAAAGTATAACCCCCCCCCCAAGAAAAACATGCCCCCCACCATTGTGAGTGATCAGCAAGGTTTGAACTCTGAACATTCAGTACTACAACACAGAAATCTACCACTTGAGCTACTGGGCTAACTACATTAACTAGCAGCAGAAGGCTATTACCCTGAGGGGGTGGGGTGAGGGTCCCAAGTTCTGCATGGGCTGTCTTTCCTACCCCCTCCCAGGACATTTGGGGGTGGGCAAACAGTAATTACTGCCCTCAAAGTTGGGAGAAGTTTGGACTGGCTTCCTCTCCCCAATCCCTTCCATTGCAACTGCCTTGAGAGCTTACAGGTATTCTCAGTGCAATGTGTGCTGCCGCTGATTTGACGATGGCATGGGCCTGATCTTAAAAATGTTCACATTATTTTGAGATTTCAAAGCTTCTCAAAAGACAGTTTCAAGAACCAGATCCTACTGTACTGAAAAATGAGCAACCATGGTGCACACAAACGAAAATCAAACTTGTTTTTGTGTACTCCTGCTCTTACAACAATAGTTTAGACTAAAAAGAAACAATCTGGTTAGAAGTTTTCAAAAACGGTACTACTGTTAAAATATTTAAGTGGCAAATAAATATCAGGCTAGTCTAATCCACAGTATAGTGCAAAATAATGAATATTTATCTATATTTATCTATTGTTTTAACTGGGTTTAGTGGTATTGAAAAGTTCCAGATTAGAAGGCATTTATCAAGCCACAGAACGGGTACAGCTGGGCTAGTTGAGGGCCAGCTTTTTCACACTGTTTCCACCACAATGTGGCTCAACAAGTGACCTGTGAAAGACAGGGCAATTCTCTTTATGCTCATCCAATCCTTGGCTTCCTGAGAGCGCTAGCAAGGGTAACAAACTGTTAACAATGGCTGTGCAATTTGGACAGACACTGAGAAATAAGACCAAATTCATCCACAATGACTGATTAGTAGACATCGGATGGTATCACATTTCAGTCACTACTGACCTGAGACAAATTCAGACATGATCTAGAATTGAAAAGCTCCATATTCATCCTTTGAGCCATTGAATTTTCTTTTACATTTTATTAAGTGAGCATCTTGAAACACCATGGAGAGATGGCAGTTTTCCTCATTTATCCCCCACCCAATCTCTTTTAGATAAACAATGCGTTTTCAATAAATGTATAATGAGAACCATATTATATGTTTATAACACCAAGGACATCTACAACTTTCTACAACCAAACAAAATAGTGTGACTGACAACATTCTAACACTTCTGCAAGACACTGCATCATCAGTTAAGTATTTTTTTGCAAAGATTTTCAACTTTTGGACAGCTTTTCACAATAACTGAAGTATTTTGAGGACTGTAATTTACAGCATTACAGGAAGATCCTGAACACATATTCACAAATATACTGTGCTGTGAAAACTAGCATTAGATGTATATAAACTTTTTCAATATGTTTATTTTTATAAACACACCCACACACCCTACCTCTCAAAAGCTTTTAAAGTTAAAAAAAAAAAAATACACTCCTTTGAGGAAAAATGCTGATTTGCTGTGGCATGTTAAACATACCCAGTATAGTGACGTCACAATCTCATGTGCATTTAGAAAGTTTACCTGATGTCACCAACAAGGAGTGAAAGAATTGGAGAAATGCCAACCACTAAATCAGAAATCAGTAAGATGATGATCAATTAGAAACTTGCCCAATGAATGAAGCAAGTTTCCCACAGTACTGAGTAAACCATCTGCTGAATTCTCATTCTTAATTTTGCATCTAGTTTCTAGATGGTGTGCCTGAAGATATGAAATAGTGCATTTTTCTACAATCAGAAATGAAGATGTCTAGTGTGAAACCAGATAATGCTAAACAGAATGAAAGTCTAACCTTTTCAAGAAGTTCTTGTAAAAAGATTCTCTATTTTCAAAATATGATATACCTTGCCTTGGGAAATTAAATAGTATTCAGCTTCATCAATGATACTTTGGCTGTCTCATATAAATTATTACAGTAACAGGGAGAAAATCCAACTGGGTAGGATGAGACAGAGTAAGAGAAAAACCACGTGCCACTAAGCAGGCTGATTTTTTTCATAACACAATAGCAACCACTCAAACTGTAATTGCATTCCTTCAGTAAATGTATTAGTACCACATACTCACACAGTGGCTATCATTGATAAACTGCAGAGCTATTTCTGTAGTTCCCTCAGGGTCTGCAGGCTCCTTCTGGGAAACTCCATTACAATGCACAGTGCTGTTCCACAAGTCCTGAAGAAATAGCTGTGCACTTTTCAGTAATAAGCCACTAACTTTTTTTTGGATGAGAGGGAAACAGGGGGCCCCGGAAGGGGGAGAGAGCGCAATTGGGAAAGAGGAGGAATAGCGGGCTCATGAGGAAATTGAGGTTTCTGCCTTGTTTAAAATTTTGTCATGTGATCATGGCAACACATCACCTTACAAATAGTAGATATTCTAATTGCTAAATATTAGTATAGATCAGAGTAGACAAAATGTTTTTTTTTAATCAAAACCATTTTAAAATTTAAAATTAAATACATTTTTCTTTTTAAAAATAAACCTATTGACAATGAAATTTGAAATTACGAAAACCTACATCAGGCTTAACCTTACTAAAGTCTATTTAAATCATTTAAATTGAATGAAAAGGTAGTATTTAAGCAGCATGTGTTTGTTGCTGAAGTTGTAAAGAAAGTCAAGCCACTGAAGTGGTGCGAGTCACCTGGAACCATTTAATATGTTGAAATGCTAACCTAGCTTTTGACAGCAGTAATCTCTTCTGTAAGTACAGAAAGAACACTCTTTCCATTTCAATTTATTCAACAATTTCAGTTTAATCACTAGGTCATTAGAAGTAAGTTGAAGAAGAAGAAACTCTTTGCTTTTCTCTTCCAATGTACGAATAAAAACAAGGTGTGAGGATGAGATCTACTAGCTCTAAAATCTTGAAGGACACAGTGACCAGAATCTCTGGATATGTCTATACACAATTAAACACCTATGGCTGGGCCGGGTCAGCTGACTCAAGCTCGCAGGGCTCAGACTACGGGACTATAAAACTGCTGCATAGACACTGGGGGTCAGGCTGGGGGCCGAGTGGTAAGATCCTTGCCCCAGACCCAGCCTCCAGCCCGAGCCCGGACATCTATGCAGCAATTCTACAGGCCCATAAACCAAGTCCCGCAAGCCCAAGTAAACAGACCCTGCCCTGCAGCTGTGGCATGGGTCTTTTATTACAGTGTAGACATACTCTACGAGTCTATGAAACAATCAGATATACCATAGATAATAGATATAGATAACTATAGATAATACGTCTGCTAAATCCCCACTCTGTCACTTTGAGTGCAGAAGGTAGGAACCTGCAAGGATTCTAAAAATTAATACATGCGACTCCAGGCTTGCATTAAACTCCCAAGGTTACAGCTTTTCTCTGACCTTGGCTCGGTAAAAGCTGCCACCACCCAAATGCAAAAAAAAAAAAACTACCAAAAAAACAACCCTATGAACCCAGGAAGGAGCACTTGGGAATTCCTCCCTGTGGGATACCCTCAAGCCCTTCCTCTCCCCCAAAAGAGCTGAGAAAGAAAACAAAGGACATTAGCTGTGGCTACTAGCTAATCAAACAACATGCACAAACCTCTTAGGACACCAAAAATCCAATCCTGATTCTTAAAAAAAGGTAAATTTTATTTAAAACAAAAAGGAAAAAAAATACATCTGGAACTTAGGCTTTTTGCTAGATCTTAAAAGAAACAATTACAAAAATTAAGCACCCAAAATAGTTTTCTTGGGGGTTCAGCTTAAAGGATACAAGCAAACAAAAGCATCTGGGGTTAGCACAGAGGAAATCCACAAGCCAAAAAACAAAACAACCCTAATTGCATCTATTTAAACATGCTCTGTTCAATAATTTCTTCTAGGTATGGAAGATGAATTTTTATGTCTGGTTCAAGCCTTACACAGCATTCCTGCTGCCCTCTGTTCCCCTCTTTCCCGGAGAGACACAACACACAAAGAAAGGGAAGGTCCGTCCCGTCCCGTCCCACCACCCCCCCTTTTAAAAAGTTCTAGCCCTCCCATTGACTCTTTTGGTCAGGTGCCCACTCCTTTTCCTTTACCTGAGGAACTCTGTTAACCCTTTACAGGTAAAGTAAGTTGAGAACAGCAATCAAGAGGGATCTTATAGCTAACTGGCTGGCTGGGTGTCCATAAAAGCAAGCTACCCCCACCCTTCATTTATCACAATGTCCTTTGTTTCACAATTCAGTTTTAAATGCAAAACAGGTTTTGATAAAAAAAAATTACTTTTTTTCTGAAGTACTTTTTTTCTAGCAAACAAATTTTGAATACTGTTTTAGTATATTTTGAATTGCATTACAATTTTCATCTACATGTATCTTGATGCAAATCACAAGTAAAAAAATTAATCTAGTAGAAAAGAATTGCCTCATTCGCCGTTTTCTAACAAAGTAGTAAAAATTAAGAATTTGAATAAATGTATGTCAAGCTTTATAATTGCTTAAATGTGCACAGATACAGTGTATTTCCCTGTTTAGCAAAAGTAGTACTAGGCTACACAGTAGAACATCAGAGTTACGAACCCCCTCGAGAAATGTTCACAACTCTGAACAAAACGTTACGGTTGTTCTTTCAAAAGTTTACAACTGAATATTGACTTAATACAGCTTTGAAACCTTACTATGCAGAAGAAAAATGCTGCTTTTAACCATCTTAATTTAAATGAAACAAGCACAGAAATAATTTCCTTACCTTGTCAATATTTTTTAAACTGTCCTTTTTGTTGTTGTTTACGTTTAGCACATTACTGTACTGTATTTGCTTTTTTGTGGGGTGGGGTGTCTCTGCTGCTGCCTGATTGTGTACTTCTGGTTCCAAGTGAGGGGTGTGGTTGACTGGTCAGTTCGTAACTCTGATGTTCGTAACTCTAAGGTTCTACATACTTAGGTGCAAAACAACATATTTTGATGGTTATACCAACCAATAAGAATCATCCTTTCTTTAGGCAAATAGCATACAAATGCTAAATATGATTAAAACCTCCAATTTAAAATCAATCCACCCTGCTACAGATTCTACCTCCCTAATAAAATAGAAGCTTTATGGTAAAAATATACCTTTTTTGACTGCAACATCAGTTCTGTTTCAAGGAGCAAGACCCGGCTTAGGAGATTATTCCAGTCCTTCTCATCTATAATCACCTTCCCTTGAAGTCTCTCTTCTAAAATATGTAGTTTATCTTCCATCCAACTTAGCTTATGAAGTTTTTCTTGGCAATCAGCAAGCTGGCTCTTTAGCAGCTCCATTTGACTATGATCTTCTGTGGCCTTGAAATAAGGACAATAATAGATTTTACTTTCTCTAATTTTAGGCATAAATACAATTGGACAGACGTGATATAGACTTGTGCAGAAGTGTTGACCTAGCGGGGAAGAAAAACTGTTCATGTCAACCATTGTGATGAGTCACAGTATGAATGCTTTTACCTTCAGAAATTGCTGTGAACTGCTTTATGCAAAAAGTTTGCATATTAGAGACACTTGCCAGAAACCAGCCAGCTGACTCTGAAGTTGTGGGGCAACTGGGGGTGCTTTATACTGAAATAATAATCAAGACAAGACCAACCAATATGACTATTCCCACAGGTTTGTTGTACCTCTTCTCCTCTTAACAAGTAGTACAATTGTACTACCAATGTTCTTTACACATGTATTATATGCTTATAGATCAAGTTTAATTTTGAGAAAAATCAAAAAAGATGTTTGGAAGCCACTTAGGCTATCATACCAAACTCTACATTTTAAAATTCAAATTCTTACTTGTTCACACACAACTTCCAAAACATCATCAGATACACAGGATTCTTCTTCGCTATCTCCATCTACTGGAATGGCGGTCTCATAGACATGCACATTAACTTCATTATCTGGGTGACGTTCCACTTGAGGTTTCTTTGTATGTAAAAACAATAATCCACATGTACGATTTATTACAACAAAAACATTCTTGACAACTAAATGTACAATGTTCTGCATTTAATTATTTTGCTTTTATCGATACACCCAAGTGGCCAGCACATCCCTTGGCCTGCACCATTTCCCGCAGCCCCCATTGGCCTGGAACTGCGATCGGCCGAACCTGTGGACGCTGCAGGTAAACAAACCTGACGGGCTGTGACAAAGGTTGCCGATCCCTATTTTAAACTGTTAAAACAAAAACAAAGTGATCCTTGATAATCTTTTCAGAATCATATGGCTCATCACCGCTATTGCCTCCCACATATTTAAAGTCAAACATCTCTCCTTTTCCTCTAGAAAAATAGCTTGATTAGGTGGTTTTGTTTATTTTTTTTCCCCCTAGGTAGACTTACTGAGGGAAAGCCAAGTCAAAAGATGAGTTTTACATTTCTTTCTGAGCACAGCAAGGTCTCTTACTTCTCACAAGAGTTCCATTGTGTAAGCCCTACTCCTCTGAATGTTCCGATTTCAAAGGCTCACAAGTCTCTCACTCTACTGCTTAAGAATTTTATTGTTCCAACGGAACTTAGAAGTCATGGGAAGTCACAGTTGTGGAGGGAAGGGCACGCTCACTGGTAGCTAGGTCCAGGCTCATGAAGGGGACACAGACCTTGAACTGTACTCTAATCAGTGGGAAGCCAATGGAAAAAGCAGAACACCAAAGTGACGTGCTCATGGTAATGTGCACTGCTAAGCAAATGAACTTTTGCATTTTATATCAGTTGAACTTTTTCAGGCTGCGTGGCTTCATTACAAGGTACAAGTTACAATAATCAAGTGTGGAAGTCACATACATATCATAAAAAGAAAAGGAGTACTTGTGGCACCTTGTGGCATTTGTTAGTCTCTAAGGTGCCACAAGTACTCCTTTTCTTTTTGCGAATACAGACTAACACGGCTGCTACTCTGAAACCTGTCATTATACATATCATAGAAACATATGGCTGGAAGAGAACTTGAGGTGTCATTCATGTACTACCTGCACTTCAGCCTGTTTTAAGAAATCTCTCAAGGTATGTCTATAGCGCAATTTAAAGCCAGGTGGTACGAGCAGCTGGCTCGTACCACCTGGCTCAGGTTTGCAGGGATTGGGCCAAGGGGCTGTTTAGTTGCAGTGTAGATATTCGGGCTCAGGCTGGAACCCAGGCTCTAGAATCCTACAAGGTGGGAGAGTCCCAGAGCTCAGTCTGCTGCCCAAGCCCAAATGTCTACACCATAATTAAACAGTCCATTGGCCAGAGACCCAGTCAGCTACAGGTGTCTAATTGCAGTGTACACATTCCCTTGATGGCTTCCTATTGGTGACAGAATAATAAAGGGAAGAATCATGTGCACTGTGGGACTCCAGAGGTGATGGCTTTGGAAGTGGAAGAGCAGGTGTCCATGATGACCTTCTGATTTCAGCACGATAAGAATCTGAGCCATTTTAGAGTACTTCCATTTTCCCCTGAAATCTCTTGGAGACTGGACAGGTGTACTGGGTGATCAATAGTATCAAGTGTCACAAGAAATTTAGCAAAATGAATAGGAATCAATTTCTCTTGTCTATGATAGAAGACCTACTCCTGTCCATAGCAATAAGCTCTTTTCCTGTATTATGCACTGGCCAAAAGCTGAAATGAAAAGGACCCAGAACACTGGCAGCTGAAAGGTAGATCTGGAGACTTCTCTGCTAGCTTCTCAATTAGCATGCGTTAAAAAGGGAGGTAACTAATGGTCAACGGTTTGCAGAGTTGCAATCATCAATCAATGGTTTCTTCAATGCTAGTTGATTAATGCATATTTTAGTGCGGCTGATAGATTCCTCTCTTCAAAGCAGATGTGGATTATCTGTCCATAGGAGTCCCACATGTTCCCCATTCTACTTTATCATCCAGAAAGGGTATGACCAGGTGGTAAATCACACCAGAAGCAGGTAATCTTTGTGACAGGGACAGATTTTAACAGTTAGTGGTGCTATGTTCTGGCATTGAGCAGAGACTGTCTGGATTTACTAAGCAATTACAGTTCTGTAAAGTTCTGCAGGGTGTAACTTTGCTGCCTCTATGGCAAAGAATAAGAGTAAAACCTCTTTGCCTCCCTCAGTAGCAGAGGCTAGTAGATCAAACATACAGTACTGAGAAATGAGAAATGTGTTATGAAGAGACATTTTCAGATTTTGGCAGAATATCAAAAAGTATTTCTGATGACAGATTATTGTAGCATTACCTATGGTCAGATTGGAAAGAGTTCAGACTACATTCACAGCCCAAGTTCTTCCCACCATCAATAGATTATGTTTATGCCTCTCCTTTCTTGCAATTTGATCACCAATAGAACAGTTAAATTATAATGATACTTTAAATACCATCATTAGACTTCAGTGTGAACTGAAGCAGAGCACATTTCTCAGAGCCACTCTTTACATCTGTTTCCATCTTGTTTTTACACTTATCTTCACAACTGAAGTTTTTGTTTTTGTTTATTTTAAGTGAAAGCTTACATTCTAGGAAGGTACTGGCTGGCTGAACAACTGCAGATCAGCCCTAATCTGATTTGTTAATATCACCAGTGTCAAAGAACTTTAAACTGTATACATAAAAAAGCAAACAATTTTCTTTCTATTTCATACCTGCTGAGAAATCGCAGTCCTGCAAACAGGAACAGCAAGAAGTTTCTCACAATTTGCCTGTGACTCAGATTTTAAAGACCTGGTTTTTTTTCTTGTTTGAGATTTGGCCTTCAAAATAAACAAAAAACCCACATTAGCAGTCATTTTCCCCCTGAAATAAACTGTTAAAAATTATCACTATATGATCCGATTGTATATCATACATATGAAACACATTTAGATTTTTTCATGATAAAATGTTGACCAAAAATAGAAAAAAATATGAAATTAAGAATGCTAATAGTGGATAAATCAAACACCTGAAAATGAATCTAATGTACAAACCACATTTTGCACATATGAAGCTGGGTCTAGCCTGATCATGGATATAAAAGAAAAAAATATTTGTAAGGTATTTAACACTGATTTTTAAAAAAAAAAAAAATGTAGAAAAATATATCCTTATAGCAATAAGGGTCACAAGTTACAAATGCATAGAATAGAACTTCTTAACGCTAGTGTTACATGCAATGATTATCTATATCAGGAGTGGCCAAACTTACTGATCCTCCAAGCCACATGTGATAATCTTCAGAAGTTCAAGAGCCGGGCGTGCCTGCCAGGGTTCAGAGCTTCAGCCCTACAGGGCTCCTGCTCTGCAGCAGTGTGGTGGGGCTAAGGAATTCTGCTCTGCGGGAGGCAGGTGCCTCCTGTGGGGCTGAAGCCCCGAGCTCTTCCTGTCCCCCCCAGTCTGGTAGGCAGAGAATGGGACCGGGGGGCAATGGAGGGCTCCGCGAGCTGCACTTTGGCCACCACTATCTATATCCTACAAATTCGTAGGAGAGAGGAGCAAGTTTCAAATTTCTTTTCTGAAAGGAACTTGCCCATACACCCAGTATCAACTGATATGTTAGATTTCTTACTTGCCCTAATACTAAATCGATATATATTAAGATCTATATATAAATAAGACCCAAAATGTGTATTGTGAAATCCAACTAAAACTCACATACAAGCTGTAAGAATATATACAGCCACACAATTTGTTGCAAATGCTTGGACTTAAAAGTTTGTTTTCGAACACTGTACTGTTAGTGTCACATTTTTCAGAAAATTAAAAAAAAAAAAAAAAAAAATCCCCACTCCAAACGAGCAAATGTTCAATTTTTGTTCCTATCTACCTTAACAGTTGTTCCAGAAGTACAATGAACTGTTTTGCAATGGTATTCTCACTACATCCAGAAGCGTAACAGAGTACATGAAACTTATTGTTAATAGGCGTGAATTTATCTTTGCTTGAAATTTTCTATGTTCACTACAAAATGTTAATATGTCTATGTCAGTGGTTCTGAAACTGGATCGCAACCCCATTTTAATGGGTTGCCAAGGCTGGCGTTAGACTTGCTGGAGCCCGAGTCCCACTATGTGGGGCTGAAGCCAAAATCTGAGGGCTTCAACCCTGGGTGATGGGGCTCAGGTTACAGGGCTCCCGCCACCCTTTGGCTGAAGCCCTTTGGCTATGTTCCCCCCTACACACACACAGGATGGCGGGGTTTGAGCGGGCTCAGACTTTGGTCCCTCCTCCTGGGGTCGTATAGTAATTTTTCTTGTCAGAAGGGGGTCGCAGTGCAATGAAGTTTGAGAACCCCTGGTCTAGGTCCTTTGGCTAGCAACAAGTGCAGAATCACTTAAATATCTGATACATCCTGTATATTGGGAGAGTACATACTGAATTTGTAAGGGGATGGACTCCGATTTACAGTTTTCCTCCCTATTCTAACTTCAGTGATCATTATCATAGTTCTTTTTCTAGTTAAAGCAACATTTGAACTGAAATATGTTACAAAATATAGTTAATCTTTTTCTCAAAAACTGTAAATCATATCTGAAGTATCACCCTGCTCAGTACCTTATTCATATTACTTAATTCCTTATGCTTTTTCATCACAGCACTGATAATGTCACAAACAATCTGTATTTTCCTTTCTGCAAAGCCACACTGGAGAAACTGCTGTTTTGTTAAAACTGGTTTGTATTGAAACTGATCTCGAAGTAGCTGCAAGAGAGTAAAACTTAATTAGTTTCCCAAACCTCTGTATATTCTCTGTTCTGTAGAAACTATATTTTTGCACAATTGCCCCTTTTGCCCCCTTAGCTTTTGCCAGTGAATCTTTTCACATGTTGGTCTTTGTATATTCTAAGCTGCCCCCATAATTGGAACTCCCATCATATGCCAATCTAACAGGCACTCTTAAATCAAATCACTCCTTAAAAAACAAAAGCAAATACAAATACCAAACATAATACATGTCTAAATAACTAAGCAAGTTTGGAAAAAAGTTTTGGAGAGTTCCAGAAATAAGAATGCACAGTAAAAACAGTTTTATTTGTTTCAGCTCTAGAGAGAGAGAGAATCATAAAATCATAGAAGTGAAGGCCTGGAAGGGACCTCAATTGGTCACCAAATCCAGCCCCCTGCACTGAGGAAGAACCAAGTAAACCTAGACCATCCATGACAGGTGTTTGTCTGGCTTGTTTTAAAAAATTTCCAATTACGGGGATTCTACAACCTCCCATACAAACCTATTATAGCGCTTAAATCCCCTTATAATTAGAAAATGTACAGAATCATAGATACGAAGTGTAGTGTTATGTAGTGAAGTGCATTGCTATAACAAAAAAGCAGAATTTCACAGAACACCTTAAAAAATCTGACAAAAGGATTTATGTGAACCTCTTTGGATTAAATATAAAGCTCTGCAAAAGTCAAATATTTTTATTCTTAATCTATTGATATCAGTATGATGTTTATTTCAACAATAACTGACACTTACAGGAATATGAGAATTGAAACCATATTTTTACTTAATGTTAAAATGGGCAGCACATCTCTACCCAGCTAAAAACCTACATTTGAGTATTTTCCCCTCACAACAAAAGACCCCCAGCCCCCCACCCCCCCAAAAAAGCAAAAAACCCAACAACAAAAAAACAACCCACACCTTTGTAAAGTGTCTTAACTAAGATGGCACCACACACCTACTTTTAACCCAGGTATACGACATATTTATAGGGTAATTTAAGGATAATTACAGTCTGTACCAGTGAAAAACCTATACCTCAGTCTGTATATAACAAGCAGAAATCCCTGTAAATTTTCATATTTATGTTTAAAACATGATGACTTAAAATTTGGAAGGTTTAAAACTATCTATAAAGAAACTTTCAAAAAAATAACTTGACAAATTAGTCTATTCAATTCCATGAGGGGGAAAAAAAAACCCTTGTAAAAACAGCTGATAGTTTGATTCAGTTTGAATCAAGATCTAAAGGTTAGAAATCTTGGATATTCATTAAGCAGAACATTATGAACACAAACTTGATGGGAAGATTTTTGTGTACAATCTTTAGATTAAACTGAAACACACATTAACAAACCAGCTAGCAACAAATTACATTACAATATTTATTACCTAACCATATAAGACAAAGTTAAAAATTAATAACTGCTGTTCAGATTTTATTTCAATTTTAAAAGAATAAAAATATAAAAAGAGGATGCATTTACAGGCTTAACAGCCTAGCTCTCAGGGTACATGTACACTGCAGCTGAAAGCATGTTTTCAGGTAGACCGACACTTGCTAGCTCTGCTCAAGCAAGCATCCTAAAAATAGCAGTGTGGCTGCAGCAGCAGCATGGGCAGCAATAGGGCTAGCCACCCAAGTACTGATACTTTTAGTGTGCTAACCTACTGTCTACCTGAACAAGGAAGTACGGTCCCAGCTGCAGTGAAGAGACACCCTCAGTTAGTAACACCAGAAGCATTAAGCAGTCAATCAGAAAAGAACTGGCCAGGCACCTATAAAAAAGCTCCTTTTCATCCCTTCATAATGTAAGGAGTATACCCTCAACACACTCCAAAAGCCAGAGGAAAGCCCATAGGATTACCCAAAATCAAGCTATTTTGGACCAAGGTGAGGGAGCAACTTCCAGAGCCATGGAGCCCACACACAACGTCTCACACACAACCCCCCATCTTTTTATAAGTTGAAATCCCACTTGTGCACCACAGCTGACTGCAACCGTGGCAGTATGCCACTGGGAAAAAAGGGATCCCCAAGATATGCAGATTGCAGGCCATTTAGGACTTTAGAGATCATAGCCAACACCTTAAACTAACTGGAGACCAGACAGACAGCACAGATCTCAATGAACTGGTGTCACATGCTCCTAATGAGATGTTCTGCTCAATAATGACCCACTATTGTGTTCTGCACCAGTTTCAGCCTACAAACTCTTTTAAGGTGTAGCACCAAGTACAGTCTATTGCAAAAGTCTAATCTTACAGTAACAGATGTGGGTAACAGTGGCAAGGTCTGTCTTCAAAAGGAGAATTCATAACCTCTTAGTCAGAACCAGATTGTAAAAAGTTGACTGGTTTAGTACTATAGAATCACCTCACTGCAACCATGGGGAGGGAGGGTGTCCAAAATCATCCATAGTTGCAAACCAAGTTAGCTCATGGCAGACACTCTTTCAAGCAAGGAAACCAATATTACATCCATCCTCTCCTCCAATTGCTTCCTGCAGCCAACATCATCTTCTCATTCTTGTCTGTGCTGAGCTTTAGCCAGCTCACTTTCATTTAATTAGCATGTAAGAGTGAAATGTGTTTTTATATATGAAATAGCAACTCTTAAATATTCCTTATGTTATTGTAACCTATGGTGCACAGTTTTTCCTACACAATGTATTCTCTAACCTATACTTCCCTCCAGCCACAGAGTTTGGCATTATTCCCTCTACTCAATACTTACCATGAGGATTGATATAAAACAACTTTAAGTAGCAAATTGTAATTTCTCCAATTATTATAAACTAGATCAACAGTAAAATAATCGGGATATGATGCAAGTAATTCTTAGATTTTTAAATCTAATGTATCTTTAATATTAAGATTGTACAGAATTTCTAATACTCTTGATGAGATTACTGGGGAAGTATCAAAAAGATCAAATTTTCATGTAGCTTAGTTATAGACACCAGTGTGAAAGGTACATCATAAGAACAACTCAAGAACAGTTGTTTGCAAAATGAACACTTAGAATTGGTTTTAATTTCCTCAGTGGCAATAAGACACACACTCAGTCAACTTTAGGCAGCATAATACATTGCACAATGAATGTTTCAGGTAAGCTTACATATCTACAGTCTGTTGATTTAAGATGTCATTTAATAGAAAAATATTTCACAGTATTTGCTAATAACTTGACACTGGCTAGGCTTCTGATATGTTGATACCACAGCTTCTCATTCTGACCACTACTGTCTCATTTTTCCCCTGTATTCTATCAATCTGCCTGTACCTATTTGTTGTCGCTTGTCTTACACTTTGGTGTAAGCTCTTTGGGGCAGGGATTGTTCTCTGTCTGTACAGGATCCAGCACAATGAGTCCTAGTCCATGACTGGCGGGCTTAGCAACTACAATAATACAAACAATAATAGTATCAGCCAAAGAGTAAAGTTGAGCTAATATCAACCTTCACTGTTTTCATTAAGTTATAAATCAAAATTTGGACCTGCCACATACAGGTCATGACTCTTCTGAAATCTTGACTCTAGACACCAAGCAGAAGACACATTGAATATGCTTTACAAATCAACACAGCTAAGTTTAGACAAACCTCTTGTGCAGGAGTTACCAAATGATTGCGTCACCAATATTTCCATTTCCAAAATTATTCTATTAGCCAGCAGAGACGCATATTAAATGTTTGGCCATGTAAGTATCAGGTCATACTTAAAAACTGCTTTTCTTGTTCAATGAACATAAAGTTAGATACCTTATAGATAGCTTCAATAAAACGCAAATCGCTTTTAGCCGTGAGCTCTACATCAGATTCCACCAAAAGTTCTGCTATGTAAGTTGAGAAGGATGTGAAGGAATAACTGATGATGGGTAAAAACGCAGCTGCATCACCCTTTACAAAACTGCTGGGGAAAAAAAGGAGAAGTATTTTGCACAGTAAATGGAAGTAAATACTCAACAATCAGTATAAACCAGTGGTGTCAAACATACAACCTGTAAGGTATATCTGTGTGGCCCACAAGATGTATCTAAACTGTGTCGAAGCTCAGCTTCCTTCCCCCACCCCGCCCCTTTTTTTTTTTTTTTTTTTTTTCTTTTTAAGAAAGTTTCTAGCTCTCTTGGCTTCAGAGATAAAAACATGGTTCATGTTTAGAAGGTCACCTGATTCAGTGAAGTTTGCGTGAGTCTGAAGACAGCCTGAAATTGACTCTCACTCCTCTCTCCCTATGAATCATACTGGAGTTTCAACTCTAAAATGATACAATGATACTTCACTGTCAACATTAAAGTATTTTATATTGAGCATTTTAGCAGATGAAATGCAGAAATAGGAGGGAGTGAAGCACACTGGGTCTGAAACTGGAAGTTCCTGAACAGAAGGAAATGCAGAGAAAGCCGAGGGCTCACAAAGACGGAGAAGAGGAAGGATGGGAAAGAAAAGAAACAAAGGGCAGAAATAACAGTGGCCCAAATGGGAGCAGATCTTGTCACTGGGAAGTAAATGTGACCATAATGCACTGAACAAAATAGCCAAACGTTTAGTTACAAACTAATGGCCACATCATTGTCTTGATTCCTCTACAAACTTCCTAGGGACATCAGCATGCATTTTACTATGCACTGTGGGGAGTATATAATCCTAAATTTATATCCCATAAGTAATTGAATATGACGTTTAATGCGCTCCTCTATATGAAATAGAGCCCTGGTATAAACAAAATTTTAATAGAGAGAGTGAGATTTTTACTTCTTCTGGAAAAGACAATTCCTGAAAAGAATAGATCTAAAAAACTCTCAAAGTTATAAAATGGACATTCAAGGCACATATTATGCAATTTATTTCATAAGCCACACTAATTCCTCATAGAAAAAGACACTCATATATGATGTTCGAAGACCAGTGTTTAGTAGAGTGTAAATTACCACTTTTACCTGACCTTGAATACGGACACTTTTACCCAATTTAATTGCTTTTTCAGTACCTATTCCCATTTTCCACCAAACCAATCCAAATATGCAACACACACACAAAGAACTGGTGTTGAGCTTGTGGGACAAAGTATAGATTTTAAATTAAACAAAACTATTCTGAGCTATGGTCCACGATTTTACTGCCACACTTTATAAACTGACACAATGAACAGTGAAAACCTCTTGTGCAAACAGATTTTGTGTAGAAATCTAGACCTACCATTTAAATACTGGAAAAGAAAAGAAAGACGGTACTCAGAAACTGAAATATAGTCCTTCACCTTTACCTAAATTCAGCCTTTGTATCTGGGATTATTATTGTAATAAGTATTTTATAGTGTCTCTGAATATTTTTATTTTTGTTTTGTGTCTTTATATCATTCCAGTTCTTTGGTGCTAATCCAATGAAGCCAGATTTCCACCCAGACTGAAAACACTTTGCCCTGATTCTCACTGATGTGTATCCTTTGCTGTTACCTTCTATCTGGATTACACTTCAGATAATAGGGGTCTGGTAAATTTTTCAAGCTCTGCTTAACACCCGTAATTAAACTGCATTTTGTTATTAAGTTCTTATATTTTTTGCAGCTTCAGCAAACCACAAAGACTAGAGGCAGATACACAGACATCTTATAGTCTCTCTCTCTCTCGAGTCCTTTTGTGGATGAGCAGGAGGCCAAAGGCAATGAATTAATGAAGCCCTATTATCAGCATTGTGTAACTGGAATACCCTCCTACCTGAAATTAAAGAAAGTTACTATTGCAGCGACAAAGACAAAAGCAGAATGCAATAATGGAATATCATAGTGAGACTAACATGAATTGCCTTCAGTTTCATTAAAGAATTACTGTAATCAAGAATTCTACTACTTACAATACCCAAAACACTGTTATGTGGGCAACAAAAGTGTTTCAAAAAGGACTATTCCTTCATCAATACATTAAAGGCCAGTCTTATTGAAGCCATATGCACTCAGCCTGAAAACTGATGGAATTTAAGACTTTTCAGAAGGGATTATGGCCACAAAGAGGCATAAACACTTGCAAATACTCACCTATTTATTAAAACAAGCCTAAATTCTTTATTACTTTCCATTTGCTTATTTAATCCATTGACCAATCTTGAGGTCTAGTAATAATTCAAAGAACCCATCTAGCTACAATACCTTTGTTACAATTTTTGGGCTTCTATTAAAAAATGGTTACTTACCTTAGATAAACTGTGTCTTTTGAAGATTTTTTGCCCACAGACTCTACTGTTGGTGCACATGAACACCATACACATGAGATTGGATTCTTTTGATCAGCATCAATTGAGGCCACATATATGCCCTAGAAGTGTGCTTCCATCCATTCAAGGGCATAAAAGCCAATTAGCCCAACCATCCCTCAGATTCCTTCACCAATGCACAAACCTGGAGGAGCAGGGATTCTGTAATAGCCAGAAAGGAAGGCAGGTCATGGAATCCAGGTGGACAATGCATCTCGGAGAATGTGTCTTGAAGGTACAGTAACCTTTCTTCAAGTGATTGTCCACTTTTGGTGACTAACAAGCAGTTGTCCATTTGCTTAGAAGTAGGTAGAAGGAGTCCTACTTAAACAATGGTTATGGGACAGCCCTATCTAAGTAGGCATATGAAGAGACTTTGTTCCTTCTGTCTGAACACTTGAGTGTGGCTGGAGTCTGCCAAAGGTCTTCTGCAGGCTACAACTCCTCCTCATTTGTCAGCATTGCTTGCCTGCCAGGTATGGAAGAGTGCAAGCTCTCCAGAAGCTTGTCATATTTCTCTTGTACCACTTCCAGAAATATCTCCAGAGTCTTTTCCATATGCTTGATGAAGTCCTGGAACACCCTGAAGCTATCCAATGAGTACTTACTGCCTCTTAGGGGAAGGATGAGGAAATTAAAGCAGGGAAAAGTTGTTCCTTCCCTTGTAGATGTTGTTCCATATAATTTTCCTCCTCCTCCTGTCTCTGTATCTGAGGCTGCAATAGCTGGCCTGCTTAAGTTGGTCTATACTGCCTCTTTGGGAAGGGCAGTCTAACTTTAGAAAGGGAAGAAATTACAGGCTTATGAGAATATGACTGCATATGCAGAGGTATCCAGCAGGGCCAAGGCTGATAAGGGTATAGGTTCGGGGATGGGTGTACCAAGACAGATGTTCCCTGTGACTCCCAGGTTGCTTCCTGATGATATTGTGCTACCCAAGTGGGAGAGAGTAGCTATATAGGAAAGGATTCCCGACTGAGTCTCAATGAGGATGAAGAGAAGGAGTATACTTCTTTCAAAAAGGGGCGAGAAGGCCATCCTTTAAGGAGTGCTCTGGCTCTGCTGTATTTTCCCTATTTGGGCAGGGGATGATGTTGGTACTGGAGATACCTCCTTCATTTGCTGTACTGATGACTCATTAACTGGTGGCTTAGCTATCAGCATCCTCACTGACACTGTTACTAATCCTACAGTTAGATCACTCTGTAAAATATATGCTTTAAGTGCCAGTACAGATGGTACCTGCACACCAGGTACCAAGGGGCCAATGATGGAGCAAGGGCAGTCCACATGTTTTGTCGGTACTACATATACATGCTAAACACTCAGTAACAAGGCACCAGATGTACTTATGTCAGGCCACTGGACTATACTTTAACTGTTGAGCCCAAGACAAGTCAGATGCCTGCTCGTTCGTGTCCTGACTTGGTAGGCACTGGAGAGAATAATTTATGCCTCAGCTCATATCTGATGCTAGAATGGAGGTAGACAACTGAGGCCTCTTAGTCAACATAGTGTGCAAATTCAGGGTGAAATCTTAGCCCACTGGAGTACTCATGGAGCGGGACTGATTGGAGAACTGAGGTCTCACTTCAGCCTTCCTTTTGGCATCTGTGGAGGCGGACATAGAGCGTTACATGAGGAACGATTTTAAGAATGCTTCTCTAGCTTTCTGAATCCACTTTGAGAAGTGATATATGAAATACTAGAGAGACAATGTGGGTGAAGTAATATCTTTTATTGAACCAGCTTCAATGGAACATATCTCTCACCTAGGTAAACAAAAGCATCTGGAGTACCTATTAAGTGGTGTTGAAATTTCTCTTGAGAGAGTCAAGTTTTAAATGCCAGGGATTTCACTTCTTCCATATTGCTAGAGCTCCTGTATTTTCTTTTTTTTGCTGGAGGGGGTGAAGCAGGCCCTAAAACCTAAACATCTGACTAAACACATTTATTTTTTCCAACAGGAAAAAGACTAAAAACTAACTAACTAACACTAAATACAGAGAAGTAACTGGACACTGCAGGGTTTCTGTCTTGCTGCCATCGTTAGTAAGAAAGAAACAAGGGATGGTTGGGCTTGCTCTGCTCTTTATACCCTGTTTTTTGGGGCATGGAAGAGGAGAACAGGCAAGGAAATATAGGACACAGGTGCAGACCCAAACATACACTGCAGGCCATAAGAACCCGATCTCACGTGCATGGGCCAGATGCACACCAAGAGTGGAATCCATGAAGACAACAACTCAAAGAAGAACATTGACATACACCATGTTTTCTGCACTGACATTGTTTTCAATCTTCCTGCATAGCCATATAAATCTTTTTATTACTCCTCCACCTCTACCAATAGGCCTTATGTATATTAAAATGTATATCTTCTAATAGACATGTTAACTGACATTTACTCCCCATTTTTGAAGAACTAAAACTTCAAAGGGATTAAACAACATTTTTGCTTTATTCAGCCACTTAAGTTTAAGGAACTGGTTAATGTACTAAGATTATTTATAAAGCCAGTCCTCTGTTTCCAGAAAAATGTACTGCTTTTTCCTCTTGTACAAAATTCATAAACATGATTATAAATGAAAGAATTGCATTAGCTTTAAGATCAATTTAAATGAAAAACTCCAGCTGAACTTTCCTTAAGCCACATGTGAAGTATTCACTATAAACAACTTTAGCGACATGCTATTGGTTCCACAGCACAGTGGAAGAAGTGTATTTTTTGCAAAGATCCAACTTTAATCAAGGCATTACAGGAAAAACTAGTAAACGGTGGATCAAATTATAATCACCAAATATGCCAAAAATCTCCCTCTCTCTTGCATTTGTGCATGCACCATTGGGAATTTTTGGATAATATTTAAGTTTTGCATGTTACACTTTTCATAATAACCCTACTGTTACCCTGGGCCTCTAGAATTCTGTTGCACTTAAGTGCCTAGCTCTGCAGCAAGCATAAGGAAACTCTGGCTTATTTTTTTTTTAGCTTTTGCAATCGTGTTGTGTCATTTAGTCAACCAAGTATATAGCACATCTGCAGTCCAGTAGCTTAGGATCCACCTTCCCTTGTAACAAGCTGTTTTTTCCATTTACTGACTCCTGTGGAGATTCTGTGCCCAGGAGTCACACAGACACTAACACTATACTCTTGAGCACAAGTACTTTCCCAAGTGAAACTGAAAAGGAACATATATGAAATGTGCCTGTTCAGTTTCACACTGCAGGGGTTGTTGCTCGGGAAATGCTTGTATACAGAAGCTCTGAGCTAACCAAATGCCTGTTCTGAGGCTGGCAAGACACCAAATAGGGTGGGAGAAGAGAAAAAGACAGCTTTGGGAGGTAGGAAAGAGAATAAAAATCAGGCCCCAAGAACTTTTTCCCAAGCTTTCTTACCTCATTCAATAGCTCAGAGAGCCATCATAAAAGTTAGTTAAAATGCTCCTCCTCCCTGTTCCACAAGTTATAGAATACTGAAAAGGGGATATCAAAGTCCAATTACATTAGTGAAGTAACTTAAAATCCATATTTGGCTCTGGATTTGGACAATATATATTGCAGAATTCTTACACCCTCACTGCGAAGCTGGTATTTAATGGTTACAAAATTATAGTGTTTATGCCTGCTGTTTACATGGACCCTGTCATCAGTCCTAAACTGGATATGGCTCCCATTTCCAAGTCACCTGTGATGTTAAAGCATTGCTAAAGAGAAAAAAGGACAAATACACTTCACTCAATTTGTTACTGAGCAAGTCATCTTGATTTGAAATTACTTACACAAATGACTGGTGATACCAAGGAAAACTGAACATGCAAGAACTGTTGTATTAAATACTGAATATTTTCATTGTGACATTGTACATTCAACAGATTATTAAAATACTGAATCCATTCACTAGGGAGAAGAGTAACTTCTTTGTGTAAAGAAGGCAAATCATCTCAGATTTATAACCTTTTCTGTGAAATCTCTCAGCACTTCAGCTACACTTGGGGTAGTGATACAGTAGAAAATGCACAAGCATTTCATCACTGTGTCATCTGATTCTGCTCAGGTCTAGATGACAGTGAGGGAAGAACTGCAGGGCTTTCTCTCAGTACTGAACTACTACCAATGAGTGCGCTAGTATAGAGAGCAGTGCCACTTCTTATCACTACCTCTCTAGACCTGCACCAAGAAGAGGGCAGTAGTAAAAATACCAGTGTCTTTCTATCCTAGTGCTCTCACTGTTACCAACACTGGTGAAGCTGCACTATTAATAGATTTCCCATAAGAGATATGTAAATAATACCTAGTGCTAGTCATAAAGTATCCTGCTTCCAACATAGGACCCTACCCTAATGCTTCAGAGAAAAGTGAAACCCAGAGAAGTGTCCCAACTCAATTGTGAAATGCTGAACAGCTGCAAAGGGTGATATTAGTATATATACATATGTCTACTGTTCATTAAAATACCTGCAGTTGAACCAGGTCACAGACTTTAAGGTCAGAAGGGATTCTCATGCTCATCTAGTCTGACCTCCTGCACATTGTAGGCCACAGCACCTCACCCACCCACTCCTGTAAGCAGGTCTGTAACCTCTGGCTGAGTTACTGAAGTCCTCAAATCTTCATTCAAAGATTTCAAATTACACAGAATCCATCACTTATTCCAGTTTAAACCAGCAAGTGGCCTGTTCCTCATGATGCAGAGAAAGGCAAAAAAAAACCCCAAGGGTCTCAAGTCTGCCAATCTGACCTGGGGGGGGGAATTCTTTCCCAAACCCAAATATGGCAGCCAGTTATACCCTGAGCATATGGGCAAGACCCACCAGCCAGACACCTGAGAAAGAATTATCAGTAGTAACTCTGCTTATAGCTTTGCCAAGCAGGTGCATCGTAACTTTAATAAGAATCTGGTCAATTTCAGATTATTTGAGATTATCCTGCCCCTTCAACGTCCCATCTCTGGCTGTTGAAGATACTTGCTAATAGAAGTCATGACTGCCTACAGTGGCAAATGGCCCAATCTCAACCCAGAAACATCAGTATTCTATCAGCTTTGTCAACAGGAATAACCTATTTCTTAGTGCGCACACTCAAAATTTGACACTATATAATTAAATGGTTTGAAATGTGTATTCAATCTGCCTACGTATCTACCATACCCTGCCATTAGCACACGCATGCACAGATCATAATTTCCATATTAACTCTGTGGTGGAATTTCTATTAACAATTACCAGAACTGTTTACATTCTTGTGGTCATCATGATGTATAAACACAAATTCATTCAAAATATCTAATTGCCTCTTACCCTGTGTAATCCACTTCCCTAGGATAGTTTAACAAGCGAAGTCCTTGTTCTAGCTTGCGTAAACTTCCTTTTAAGTCTCCGGTTGCCATTATTTCACACACTATTCTTCTTTTAGATTTTTGGGACAAGTTTAATACAGGATATTCTTTTTCTTAAAAAGAAAAAAACAAACATGACAATTATAAACTGCAATAGGATTACCAGTGAAGTCCAGTTTTTCTTCCCGAGACAACGTCCTATTTCTGACATTCTATAACATTTCCCAATATGCTATTAAGCCAAGGTACCACACAAATTAATGTCTATGTACTTCCTCATTCAAACTAAAAGCATGGAATATACAGGTCAGTCAGTAAACTAGAATTATTACTGTTAGAAAGGGAAATCAGAGTTCAAATTTTATAGTTGGGTTACTGCTTCCTAAATAGCTTGCTCAGGTGGAACAAAGACCTCTGTTTTACTCAGTGTCAGGTAGTCGTATCATTATAGTCTGAAGACAGCTCTATACAACCAGCTTATGGGATCTGGATGAATCTTTATTTCAAGGAAACAAAGGTTTTTTAGCAAAGACGAGAGTATTATAAGGGGAAGTGTGTAAAGCAAAAAACCTTATATAAAAGCTTATATAAATGCTGCATAAGCCCTGAAAAAGCATACTTAACTGTAATAAAAATACAAAAAGGTGTTGCAGACAGCAGTTCTGTGGCATTAGGGGATGGAGTTTAAACTCAGTTTGGGGAAATATGTAGAAAGGCAGAGAAAGAAACTAGGTGAACAAAAAACAAAAAAAATCTTTTGCATGAATGTCTCAAGTCTTATTTTAAACTTAGAGATTTTTTTCCTTTAAGGTTTAAAGAAAATCCAACCATTTAAGTTAGGAATGTGTCTAAAAAAAAAACCAAAAACAAAACAAAAAAACAAAAAGCCTTCAGTGTTTTCAGTGCTCTGTGAAAACTATTCTGATGTCTCTTCAGTGTCTGATAAATTCAGAACAATTCAGACTGAAATCTTCAAACTTGACATGTCTGTGGTATTAAGTGAGGAATGTGCACTTTACTATCATAAATTTTGGTGAAAAGAGTAAAATTAGCTGTAAACCATCCCTACTGGGGGAAAATATCTTTCCCACTAAGACCAGTGTAGGTATTAAACAGATCATAACCAATTCTGTAGCAACTCAAGACCAAATACTTAAAAAAATCTAAAAAATTACTGACCGGTGTAACAAGCAGTTCATCCACAAAATAAATTGCTATTCATACAGCACTTCAACCTTTCTAGCATATTGTGGATACTGGTATATATCAATCAGCCATATACAGGAGAGTCCAACTGTGACAGAACACACATGCATGGTAACAAAAAGTCTACACGGCAGTTAAAAACCCGTGGTTGGACCATACCAGATAACATGGGCTCAGGCTAAGGGGCTTTTTAATTACCATGTAAATGTTCAGGCTCGGGCTGGAGTCCAGGCTCTGGGACCCTGTGAGGTCAGACCCTTGAGACAATTGTTGATCTATCTCTATTGCCCTAGTGGAGACATGAAGGGCATCCCGAGGAAAAACACATGAATGCTGCTGACAGATATTCCATAGAAATATGCTTCAGCCATGAGATTTGCTTTTTAAACATTCAGAGGTGCCCATTCTAGGAGAGGGCCATATCCACTTTGGATCAATTCACTAGTCCTGACCTATTGTGTAGCATTTTACAGAATATTTTAGCAAGTTTTCCCAGATACTTGTTTTTGCAAAAGTTTCCCATTCAGGTCCAATAAGATCCTTTAGTAATCCATACATAGAAATTCTGATAATTCCAATTTGTATTCCAAAGGGAAAAAATTCCTACTAATCTCATTCTCTTTCTTGACCCCACCCATACCCTCTTCCCTTTTTTTCCCCTTTTTCTTTTGGGGGATTGTCCCAGAGGAAGAACTAGGCTTGTGACAACTGAAAGCATCTCAAATATCCTGGGGTTAATATCCTGTCTTTTCCTACTGGTCCTTGGGTTCCAGCACCAACAGCTAACCCTCATTCCAGGTACAGGAGCAGAAGTTTTCCAGTCTTTTTCTTTCCAGCCTATAGATGTCCTAAGTTTCAAGACATTATGCTCCAGTAATTCTGATGAAGAGACAGAAGTTCCTATGGCAAGATTTAGGTTTGTGTTTTCTGGCCACCCGAGCCTTGGCCAGTTTCTCATCGCCAGAAACTCCAACACAGAGATTTGGAACACCAAGAAAGATATGTTTCAGAGTAGCAGCCGTGTTAGTCTGTATTCGCAAAAAGAAAAGGAGTACTTGTGGCACCTTAGAGACTAACAAATTTATCTGAGCATAAGCTTTCGTGATCCGATGAAGTGAGCTGTAGCTCACAAAAGATTATGCTCAAATAAATTTGTTAGTCTCTAAGGTGCCACAAGTACTCCTTTTCTTTTCAAGAAAGATATGACAGCTTCTTCCTGATTTTGAAGGAAAAGTGGGGAATCTTTCTCCTTTCTGAGGGGCTACCTGTTGTTCTTTCCTTCCAATTATGTGGGTATTCAGGAAACGGAAGAAAAATCTGTGGGTCTCATCAGAAGAGCTACCTGAAAAAGGTGAACACTCTTCTCCTTTTTGATTTAGTCTCTATTTCCCCAAAAGGGTCACTCCACAACACCATGGAGAGGTTCGGAGTAGGTGTTTTTCACTTTTGTGTTGGGGGAACAGGACTGCCCTGGCCCCTGAAAGTAAATCCTATGGATTGGTAACCTCCAATCAAGGAGGACTTTGAAAAATTCCAATAAGGAGGGCCTTCTTCGAAATTAGGGCTGGCCAAACTACTGGAAAAGAGGAAGAAAGAATAGGCTAAATGAATAAAGAGACGGGCCCTTTAATGCCATCCTATTGCTTTTGCTGGGTCCAAACTGTTTCTAAATCCATCCCTTCACAGTTTGGATTTGGAAAACCCGGGGTGGGGGGACATGACATGAGGGATTATAGTCAGCAGCAGCAACTTGCTGATGTGAGCATGGCGGGTTCTGCAACATTCCAAACTGGCACAACTGTTTTGTGCACCTCTCAGCAATTCTCCACCTTAGAAGGCTGCTCTGAGTGCACTTGGCTCCACTGCAGCCTGATCAAAAGGGGGCTTGGGCAATATCTAGATAGATGAGCCTCAGAAGACAGGCCTAGCTTATCCCACTTTCTGTGGTGAGTATCTCCATCTACACATTCCATAAAGGAAGAATGGGCAATAAAGATCTTTCCTTTTTGTTTGTCCACCACATTTGCACTCTCAGCAGTGCTGCAGGGGCACTAATCGCTGCAAAGCCACAACAAGAGCAAGACTAGGAGCCAAAAACAAAACAAAAAAGCTTTCTTTCAAACCTGGAACCAGACCATACAGTTCTGAAAGGATCAAATGTATTGAATTAAATACTTTTCTTGGTTTCAGTTTCTGATTTGCATCATCTGAAAAAGCCTGTTTACACCTGAGAAGGCAAAGCAAAATTGCTGGGCATTTCAGGGTCACTCCCACCCTGCATGTGACAGGTCTGGCTCTGATGCCCAAGCTGTAAGCAAACTGACAACTTACTGTTTAAGATCTGTGGGCCTTCCTTCGCAGAAGAAACTAAGGCTTATATTAGTTTCACTCAGTCTGATCTGCAGCAGAGATTCCTACAGAGGAAAATGCCTGTCTTGCCGAGAAGTTTCAAAATTGTGCACAAGGAAGAGGGGACAAACACAGAAAAGGCCAAGATTTAAAATTCCTGTAATCCCACAATTTAACTCTTCCAGTAGAACATATGGAGACTGGAAAAAGCTGTGTTATATACATTCTTCCGAACAGAAAAACAGAGGAAATTCTTACATGGAGAGGGGAGGAGAATGTTATGAAGATTAGTTGCCAAAAGAGATCTGAGGCTGTTGACAGTGTTGGATCATATTAAAGAAGTTCTGTATTAAAATCACAAATGAGTTTGATCCCCCATAGTTTAAATTCCAGGGTATTACTAATTAAGAGGTCTCTTGGTTTTTTATACTGTTTCTCTCCCTCTCTGTGTGAAACTTGCAAGCTGCTAATTGTGTTAGTACATTCTAAGACAGAGTCTGTTCTCAAAGCAGTTCTTTGTAACAACAACTACTCACACAAAGAGAGACTCAAAGCAATACTCTGTAACAACAGAAACAGCACCCAGAGACTCCCTGCCCTTTTGTTGTATTCATCTCGCTTTGTTAACAATTGTGATTAAAATAGAGATAGAGGATGTATGCGGATGGATGCTTGGTGTGGATAATAACTGAATAATCAGGGAGGTGCCAGCCTAAGAATCCAATGTCCATCGGCTGAAGGCGGCGTCAAGTGGAAATAACCAGAGGACCCCCGGAGGGCAGACTGGAATCCACCCAACAGCCTCAAGAATGGGAGGGCTGAGGGGCTACCTGTTCTTCTTTCCTTCCAATTATGTGGGTATTCAGGAAATGGAAGAAAAATCTGGGGGTCTCATCAGAAGAGCTACCTGAAAAAGAACTAGATAACATCTGGCAGCACAGAGCCGTCAGGAATGTGCCATCTGCTGATTGATTCAGCAACAGCATGATGAAGCAATTCCCATAGACTGTCATAGGAAGAAATTCCTCTAAAAATGGACTCTAGAAAGTGAGGACTTTGGGGTCTGATTCTGCAAACCAACCTCCAGGAGCATCAGATGAGCATTTGACAAGGCCCTGCTCCCTCCTCATGTCCAGGCCACCTGGCCAGTGGCTTGGCATGAGCAACTCTAAGGCTGGTAACTATGATAACAACCTTGCAGAACCTGTGTGTGTGTGTATGAATGAATGTGTGAATAAATATGAAATTGAATGGAATGTTATAGCTATAACTAACTGCTTACTATGATTCTTTCTGTATTCACAATAAATGTGGCATTTTGCCTTTTCCCCTTTCATAAGATCCTGCTGGTTTTTATTTTATTGGTATTACAGCAGCTATGCCTGATTGACATGTCTTGAAAAGAAATTAATCTTGAATGGTGGCTTTGGATCACAGAATCTGAATTATCACATACTAATTTCCTTTTTTATAAAAAATTCATATTGCTTCATATTTTTAAACGTTAGATTTCTATTTAGAAAGGCTTTGTGAAGAGCTTTTGCAGCATCCTACAAGTACGTGTTTGGAAGTTACATGCAACCAAACTTGGTGGCTTTCCAGAATGGTTAGACTTTGAAAGTACAAACTGGCTGACAGCCCAACTTTTACAAGTCCCAACTGAAAACAAATGGTCAGTGTTTCAGAATTCTGCATAAACTATTTGAACACAAGAAGATCCATTAGCAAACTGCCAAGATTCCTCTATCAGTGCTTTGTGAAAAGATTTAATTAGTGAAAGAGTGAGGCAGGTTTCCAAGAGATAATTAGTTCAAAGAAAAATTCTGAAAAATATGCAGTGCCGAATTATAGAAGATGGCATTTTCCCCATTATGCTTGTTTACTACTGTATGTTTCAATCGGCGTGGCAAGCTCTACACAAAACTGTATGCAACTTCCCCAGGAACTATAAATACAACAGAATCTCGCTAATTCATGTAATGAGAGGGAGATAATTTGCAATTTAGAAAGTAAGCAAATCAATGAAAGGGGTTTTTTGGGGGAGGGAAGTCATTTGAAAAGAGTAATTTTAACTAGTTACAATAATAAATATTCTGCAGTACATTTGTTAAAGCAGGATTTGAAAAATTCACTAGTTGAGACCTCAGTGAGTGAAAAGATCTATATCATAAATTTCTGCAGAATCTAAGCTTTAATTAGAAGAATATGTTTCTAGTCCTTTTAGAAGGTTTTCAGCATACCAAACATGGACTCAGTGTAGAATGATATAGTGCTGTAGCCCTGAATCTGGAAACAGGCAGTCTCAGTGCCTCTTCATGTGCTTATAGCTTTGCCAAGCAGGTGCACGGTAACTTGAATAAGAATCTGATCAGTTTCACAACTATTCGGAACCTCATGCACAACAGTGACACTTAAGAACCATGTGCAACTTGGGCAAACTGTAGGTAACACTACAGGCAGGATCTGGAGTTAGGACTCAGAGGGCCATCCGCTCCTTCCCCCTGAGAAGAATAGGCTGGGAGTTTGGGGAAGCAGTCCTCTTTCCACCAGCCAGAAAATTCTGGGAGAGGACAAAAGTAACAAGGACCTCTGTCCGACCACAATGGCCAGGAAGGTGAGTTAGGGTAAAGTAGTTAAAATCCTCCCCTCGTGGCCTGCCTTGTAGTTACCTATAGCCCCCGGAGGTAATGGAAAAGGAGATGCAGATTCAAGTTTCAGACCTACCAATAACCAGAGGCTGATGAGAGAGATGGAGGTCCCCTTAAGTAAGGTCTAGAGGCAGCACACTAACAAAAATTCTAGAAGCTGGTGGGGCAGAAAAGCTGAGATTCCTAGCAAAGGTGGTGCTGCTTCAACACATTCTTCTGGTTTTTTGGTTGTGTTTTGTTTTTTTAACTCCAGCAGCTAGTATGTTTGGTCTTTTTTTTTCAAAACCTGGGTAATTTAGTGAAATTTGTGCAATAAGACTTTACACTACAGCCACCTATTAAATTCTTGCTAAAAATTGGGGAGAGTGCCCTGGCTGAGTTTCCCCATTGTGATCAGAAAAGAGACTGCTGTACCGCACCCAACCTCTGGATACGGCCTACTATGTCTGAGCAACATCCATGCAGTCTCTAAATCCAGCCTCTCTGGCACAGTCCTGGGGTACAGACCCCTCTCTAGTAGTCCTCCTAGGATATGGGACCCCACAGTCTAGCTGCTCTAGGTCCAAAGACCAGTACAAAAGCCCCAAGCCCCCCGATAGCTTTATTATGCCGTCCCCAGAGCTCTACCCTCGTGGGTATCTGGTTTACAATTGAACTCCTCAGGGACAACAAGCCAGTTAAAGCAAGTAAAAGACTTTGCAGAGGAACTTAAGTAAAGTGAATAGTTACAGGCAAGCACACGAGTTACAGATCTAAGCAAAAACAACAAACAGCTACACTCATGACCCTCCCTCAGTTTCCTCACCTTTCCTATTAGTCTTTTGAGTCTCAGTGAGTGTCCCTCTGAGAATTCAGGATCCTCCTGACCCATCTCCTACTGCTCAATCTTCTCTTCTTTGCAATAGTCTCCCTTTTGCACGCAAGCCTTCATCTATATAAGTAGTTTTGATCACGAGTCCTGCTCTGAAGCCTTAATGTCCCAGCCATGCTGAACTCACATCAACAATCCCCTTTGCTTCAGAAGAGGGATGGAGCCAATTGAGTAAGGAGCAAGTCAGACCTTGGGTGCAAGCGGGATGTCTCATTAAGTGTTTTCTCATCTTGGGGAGTGCTTCAACTCCTTCTTCTCTTGTTATACATTACAACCAGGCTATATGTACACTAGTTTAAACTAGCTCTTACATGACACAAAGTAGAGTCCTATAAAAAAATGGAGGTTCTAATCTACAATGCGGGGTACAATCATAATTTTGTTTTGAGAGTATCATTTAAATTAACAAGATGAGAGTTTCCCACTGCCATTTTCACATTGGAACGACAGAATGTGAAAAAAAAGTGTTGAAAACAAGTTACACTACCAGAGTTTTAGACATTTATCAGAAGCAGAAGAGCCCATTAAAATAACTGAATAGGTAGTCAAAAGATCCCTTAAACACATGACACCCCTACATTTTAATGGAAATTCCTTGTGTTTACATAGGGGCCAGGGGTCCATTTTACATGGAATACCAATAAGAGGCATTTTTTGTACAAATAGGCAGTAAGATCAAAAAGACAAAAAGGAAAGACCTATTCAATATGACTAACAGAGTTCCCATTGAAGAATTACACTTCCAACAGAAGAGGAAGCCAACTGTTGTTTTTACACTTAGGCAATGTCTTAACTGTAAAAAAAGATGGTGTTTTTACTGTGGGATAACTAATGCACATTAGCTATCCTACTGTAAAATTGTACGGGAAACAAGGCACCTGTAGTTTTTACCACAAAGTAGCTAGGTGACATCAATATAATAACCCCACCCATTGAAGAAATATGTAAACTTCCTTCTAATGCCTGTAACAGAAAAATAGCAGTGGCATTCAGTTAGTGTGGCTCTTTCTAAAAAAGCTACAATTTAGCCCTTCCATTTTTCTCACCCTACTTCCCATTTTTGCACGATTTAAATACTGAGGGCATTAGCTTCCAATAAAACATTTCCTTTTGCAGTGATGGAAAGAAGGAAAAAGGATCATTCTCTGCCACAGACTATATATGCGGCAATAGATCCATAAAGTTTTGAACTTGAGATCTACACAAAGTTGTGCATTATACAATGTTACATATTGTTATTGTAAAAGATAAGAAGTTACTAACTATGAACAGTAATAAACTGCCAATGATTGTTTCAAACTGCATGGGATGAGACAATCACTTAAGTGATGAAGCAGCAATGGGAACAGTTCTACTGGTTTATACCAATGGCAAGAAGCAGCATTAAATCGCTATCCTTAGCTTTGAGGTACAGGTAGGAGGATTACAACTAGAGCCTAATCAAATCCACAGCCATGAAAAAAGCATCATAGACTGTGAAATCTGGTCTTTTGTGTGCTTTTACCCTATACTGTACAGATTTTACAGGGGAGATCAGCATTTCTTAAATTGGGGGTCCTGACCCAAAAGGGAGTTGTGGGGGGTCACACGATTATTTGAGGGGGATCGCAGTATTGCCACCCTTACTTCTGCACTGCCTTCAGATCTGGACGGCTGGAGAGCAGTGTCGGCTGTTAGCTGGGCACCCAGATCTAAAGCCAGTGCCCTGCCAGCAGCAGCACAGAAGTAAAGGTGGCAATACTACACGAGGCCATCCTTCCTTCTGCACTGCTGCTGGCGGTGGCGCTGCCTTCAGAGCTGGGCTCCCAGCCAGCAACCGTTGCTCCCCAGCTGCCTAGCTCTGAAGACAGCGCCACAGCAGCACAGAGGTAATGGTACGAGTACCACAACTCCCACCCCACAAAACCTTGTAACCCCCCCCACACACACACAACTCCTTTATTGGTTGGGACCCCTGAAATTACCACACTGTGACATTTTGGATTTAAACAGCTGAAATCATTAAATTTATGATTTTTTAAATCCTATGACTGTGAAATTGACCAAAATGGACCCTGAATTTGGTAGGACCCTAATTATGGCACTCTCCTATTTCACTACCTGGCAGAAGGATCCTGGCGGTTGTGACCAGGGACCTCCCAAAATGGTCAGCAGCCTAGGAGTCTGTTTTCCCAACAGGAGTCTCAGCAAAGCAAAGGCGGGCAGGGTGCACGTTTTGCCCTTTTTCTGCCTTGCAAGTCCTCAGGAAGCTGCAATGACCCCGGACTCAGGTACTGTCCCGCTCCGGAGATGCTGATGTAAGACCGGGAAAAGCAGGGCCTCCAGCCCGGTGCTTTGCAGCTGGAGAGAAGCACAAGGGAAGCCCCTCTCAGCCCCTCTCTCACCCAGAGCCACTTTGCACGGGAGGGAGCAGACTGCAGCCCCTACAGAGAAAACAGAGGCCGGGGCCCAAGAGACTCGGCGGCCCCGCGGAACAGAGCCGAGAGGCGCCGGGACCGTGTCCCACCCCAGGGAAGACGCACAGAAAACTTCGCCCCACCCCCCATGAGTCTCGGTTCCCCCGGTATGCGGGGGGAGGGGCAAAGACTGAAACAGACACGGACCAGCGGGTCGGGCTGGATCAGGAAGCCGGGGCCGAGAGGGTCGCACACAGATAAAGCCCCCACCCTTCCTCCGACTCCCTCACAGCGATTCCCCGCTCTCCTGTACTCAGCGCCCACACCCACCTAGGGCTCCCGGCGGCGGTTTGTATTTTACCGGCGATTCAAGCCCAGCAGCGGGAACCGCCCCCACGTCATCTCCCAATTCGCATTGGCAGATTCATCGCTCGCTCTCCACCGCCTACCTGCCTCAGGGCGCCCGCGTCACCTCCACAGCGAGGCCCTGTTGCCAGGCGACTCCCACTTGCGGGCGGGGCGGGAAGGGGCGGGACAGGGAAGATTACTTAACTCTGGGCACTGACCAAAGTCGGTTTGTGCAGAATCTGCGGACACAAATCTGACAGTAGTTTCCACTTCTGTGAACTCTCGCGGCGCCGACCTCACTTCCAGCAACAACAGCAAACGTCAAAACTCAGGAGCGAGAAGGGGGCGGTGGCAGCGACGGCGGCGCAAGGGCTCACTTCTCCTCTCCCTCCCCCTTTCCCCCCTCCCCGTGCCCGGTGCTTCCTGAGTCTGTTCCCAGCCGGCGAGGCTCACGCACCGACTCGGCTCGTCGCGGCGGCGGTTGGGATCGGAGCTTGGAGAGGTACGAGAGACCCCCCGAGCTTGGTCCGTGGGGTCGGTACGGAGTGATGGGCGCCGCGGCCAATCAGAGGTCGGCGCTAGGGTGGGGCTGTCTGAAAGGGCCAATCTGGCTCAGGGGCGGAACTTTCCCGGCCCGGTTGTGTCTGGGTGAGAGGCAGAGGCTGGCGCTGGGAGCAACGTTACCGTAAAGCTGCTCGGTGACCGCTGAGCCTCTGCTCGGCCGGCTCCTGCCTGCTCCGCGCCGCGCACGCCGTGCCCGCGCCTGCCAGCTCCCTCCCAGCACCACACAAGGCACCCCCTGCCAGCACACACGCACGCCCCCTTCACTGCCTATGGGCGAGTGATCCCTCCACCTTCTCCCTCAGAGCGCTGGGGGGGGAAAAGCGGGGGAGGGGTTTGATGGCTTTTATTCCTTTGTTGTCCATGGGTGGGAGCTTTATTGGTTTGAAGGCGGGGGCAGATAGGTGACGATACAACAGGTTGATCGTGATTCCGAGTTGCTCGGAGCAGCGTGTGTGAGTAACGTGTAACCTAGAGTGGGGGCTGCCTGGAGTCCACAGCAAAGGAAAGGGGCTGTTGGCGCTTTGGATTTCCCAAGGAGATAGTGACAATTCTGACAATCATGGACATGGGGAAACTAAATAATCTTTTAAGTAACTAAAATAGTCATTTGAAAAACTTTTAAAAAACTCTGTAATAAATGCACCTTTGGCTTCCAAACATCCATGTTCAGTAGTAATATTAATGATGCTTCATGACCTGCATACCTGACAAGAGGGGAAGGTGCACAGTGCTCTAGCCCTTGTGCTCACGAAGTGGTGGGATTTTCAAATTTGCTCTAAGGAACTGGGATTTATCTTGAACCAAAACAGTCACTGATGTAAGCACAGGCCAGTAGCATTATAGGGTACATCACTGCAGTTTCACACAGTTCAGACAATATGGTATTTCAGTGAGACCACGGTTTGACTTTTAGTATTCTGCAGCACACACCAGCAATGTAATACTTACTATAAAGTAGCACACAGAAGCTGTGTCCAGGATTGGGGCCTACTTGTGATAGTCTGTACAGAAAAAAGGTAGATAGGATAGTGAATATATAAACAAGTGTTATTGGCTTTCCTCTACTCACAAGGGCAGGCCAATCCATCAGAGTCTCAATAGGTAGGGAACAATGTACAATTTTGAGGTCTTGGAAATACGCCTAAATGATTTATTTTGGTATAAACATTAAAGATGGAGACTTTCAAGTAGAAAATTAAACTGGCTACTATTTTATATAATACAACTACATTTACTCTTATTTACTCCTTCTCTCAGATGTTTTTATGCCCAGAAATGGATTTACCCATCACGTAATAGTGAATTTCTAAAGTGTTCATCTTGATTACTGCAAAACTGAAAATAATTGCTTGATTGGGGGGGGGAATAAGACACCAGATCTAACAAATGGCAGATAAACTCTTAGGTACAAGTTTCAGAGGAACAGCCGTGTTAGTCTGTATTCGCAAAAAGAAAAGGAGTACTTGTGGCACCTTAGAGACTAACCAATTTATTTGAGCATGAGCTTTCGTGAGCCACAGCTCACTTCATCAGATGACGTGAGCTGTGGCTCACGAAAGCTCATGCTCAAATAAATTGGTTAGTCTCTAAGGTGCCACAAGTACTCCTTTTCTTTTTAGCTACAAGTGTATTACATCTTATGGCTTTATGATGATCAGTGAGTGCTTAGGTAGTTAAAATGTGTCTCAATCTGTCGTATCTGTGAAATCTGCTCATTTGGTATTTAACTTAAAATACCTATTGTTCTTTGTTTTATCATTCCTATAATGAGTAAGATTTTAGTGAAGGATTTTGATTTTTTAAACAGATTTTGATATCTTTCCATAAAAGTATGGGAGTATTTCACAAAGAACGTGCTTTTTTAAATATTCTGCCATACTTCTTGCATTTGTATCCTTGGATATCAGCCATGATTACTCTCTAATGTGAAATTGATTAGAAGTGATTGTGGTCTGACTTCTGAGGTGAAAAGATTATCAGGAGCACGAAGAACATGTTTATTTTCTTTCATTATAAATGAGTGTTGACTGGTTTTTGTGTATAAAAACCCTGTGTAGCTGCTTTTTCCATGCTTTACTTACAGCTAAAGGGAAGGCTTTAATCCCCTGCAACCATTATGAACACAAGTACTACCTTTAGACAGATAATCCATTTTGCAGAGGATCAGAAGCTAGTATAAAAAAAAACTTGAGTGTTTACCTGGCGGTGTTAAAGTCCACTAGATAATTCAGAAGGCGTGATCATTCAATGCCCTATTTCTGATAATGCTCTTTATTTCTCACTTGTAAACCTCTCTTGAATACTCAGACTTGGAAAAAAAATGGTCTTTCAACATCTTGTAATACTGGAAAAAGTGACAGCTTGAGTTAGCAATCTTAATTTGTGGGATTCTCCTCACACTTTTCATAGCCCAGAGGATTCTTTTCCCATACCCTACTTTCTCCTTTTTCACACCTCAGTAGTGTTGATCTCCTGCTATCTAATTATTATTTTATCATTTATTTAGTTCCAACAATATCCTCAGCACTGTACAATGTGCAAAAATAAAGATCATCACTGCTTCAAAGAACTACAGGATATCAGAAGATATTCTCAGAGGACAGGGTCACTAGATATATACACTGGTGGGGATATATTAGACTCTACAAGAGGCTATTAGACTTTGATGGGCTTAAGACTTAAGCTTAACATTACTGTTTATCTGTTAGTATAGTAATCTATTCACTCAAAAAGACATCAGAAGTTCTGAACATAAAGAGCCTCTAACATTTACATCTACAGTTTTTGCAAGTTTAATTACTTGCTGCCAATGCTCAAATTACATGCAGGGCTGGGGATGGCTGAAGTCTCCCACAGGTCCAGCAACACACCAATTTTCGAAGACCTGTACATGTACAGTGCCTAGCACAAGGGGACCCCTAATCTCAGTTGGCATATCTAGGGACTGCTATAAGACAAACTGCAGCAGTAATGCCGTATAGAGATTAATGGAAACAGTTAAAGCCTCTTAGAGTCAATCCTTCCCTGTCCTTTGTGGCTACAAAACAAATGGAGTTCCACTAGACTGTGCAGTAGCAGGAGAGGGGGCAGGGTTCTGATAGCCTACAAGGCACCACAGAGCTCAACTCCAGAGCCTCTGTGAATTAAATATTAATGACAGGAAGCAGCAGAGTTGGTGAATCTGCCACTGTACAGAACCACCAGTTATTCTTCACCATGTGGAAGAGATAAATAGCCACTGAGCAACTCAACCCTTCAGGATGATCTCCATCCCAAAGGAGCTCCATAACACAACTGCCCAGGTTGTGTGCTGGGACCAGGATTTAGGCCTTAAGCAGTTGCTACCTCTTGTTTCAATCTGCCTCCAGAGTGAGGAAGATACATTTACATTTATATTCTCTCCATGTTCAGAAGGTTCTCATTACAAGGTTAAGGGCTAAAAACTTGCTTTTTCTAAATGAAACTTAAATTTTCCAGAAACTCCTGCATAAGCCCCTTCCCACCAACCCTGGTCACTTTAAAATATTGACTTGCACTAAGTTGGGAACATTTTTTTCATGGTTACAATTATATTTGCGTTACATACATTAAGAAGGAAAAATTCAAAAGTATACCTTCCTAATTTGATCATTACTTGCTATTGAATTAGATTGAAGCTGCTAACAACCTTGAGGGTTTTTTGGTTTTAAGCTTAGGTGTTCCTCTCAAAGAAAGGCAGAAGTAAATTGCTTGTTTTCTCATATGTATGTGATTGATTGTGTCACTTTATACATGCTGTGATTAAGCAGTTTTAAAATAGGTGCTTAATATTTTACAATAGGATTAGTTGATCATGTGCTGGTTTAATCTGTTGTCCAGTCTAGTAAAATTCAGTAAGCCATGTTGTAGATTTGAGAGAGTAATAGTAGATCAAGGAAGGGAAAACGTTTCATATTATTGAATTGAGAAATATACATCGTGCTGTTCTAGTTATGTGAGGAAACAAATTAGATTTACCTGGTTAAGAAGCTTTTATGTGGAAATATTGAACTGCTTAGAATTTTTCAGAATCAAGAAATTTAAAATCTAGCTGTTTTCTGAATTTTACTTCTGGAATTAGTTTTATTAAAAATCTTCACTTTCTAACTTGCAAACAGCAATTACCTATGACTGTCTTTTATCATTAAGGTTTTTAAGAAGAAGAAAACTGATGAAGGGATGGGAAGGCAAGTATTTAATACAGCTGAAAAACAAATCTCATTCAGTTTTTAGTTACGTTTAAAACCTGTCTAGGAAAAGGGAAGCTGTGTCTTCAAATCCATGAGACCTCTCTCACTAGCTGCTATTTGTGCATTTGTCTTTGAATTAGTTATGTGACCCAAAACCTGGTGGAGCCCTTCCTGTAAATGTTGATGACCCTGTCACTTTTAGAAGAACAAATCTGTGTTGAATGTTCATATCATCAACTTCAGGTCTTTCCTAGATTGGTCCTTTTGCTAGAGGACTTTTTTTTTTTTAAATGGATATAGTGATATTTATAGTTCATAGAAACAGCTTGTTAAAATAGTGGAGAGAAAAATTGGATTAATTGTAGTGGCTGTATATGAATTATATTTCAGTTTAAATATGCATTTGAAAACACATTACTGTTACACTTGATTTTTGTGTACAGTGATGGAAATGGTACTCAACTAATGAGCAGCTGTTCAACAGATTTTATCTTTATTGTTCAATGTGTGACCCCATGCCTTATTGAATTCAAAACCTGCTCTGAAGACAGAATTATTGATATTTTTTTCATGGTCTTTTCTATGGTGCTAATCGCTGTGGTATATAAGTGCTTCACACACAATTAATTTATATTCACCCCATGATGTGAGGGGATGGTATTATCCTCATTTTACAAGTGGGGAACTGATGCACTGAGAGATTAAAATCAAAAGTAGCCACTTATGTTGGGCACCTAATTTGAGACAGATAGGACCTGAGTTTTCAGTGTACTTATAGCATTATATAATACTTCATATTTTCATCCACAGTTCCCAGTGATTGAATTAAAGGGGACAAATTCATGTAGCACAGGCATCTTATAATATTTGAGTGTTTGACTTTGCAACCTTAATAATATTGTTTTACTGCAGGGGATCTTTTATATAATTTCCTAGATTTTTAAAAAGGTAAATTGAAGATACAGAAATGTAATTAGGTGCTGTCATATTGACATCCACATAGTCATCATTATGGCTAGAACCTTTAGATGTTCTGCAGTGACCTCAGCCACTTAAATTAATGGAGTAACTCATAGCAATAGTAGGTTGTGATCCCCTGTATGGACCAGTACTAGAGGGGGATGAGATGCACTTTGCCAATGGATTTCCCATATATTTACTGACACGACTAAAATGTGGACTCAGGAATCTTGGTTCCATTTCATGCTCTACAAGAGAGAGTGTTCTAGTAGGCTTATTTCCTCCCATGCTTGACCCATTCTACCCAGCCTCTTCACCCTTCCCCTGTCTGGTCTCTTTCCCACTCTTGGCTCCTGTCACAGTTCCAGCCACCTTGCCCAGTCAGTCCTAGTTACTCCACCCCAATCTTGCTCTCCAAGTCCTAATCTTCATGCCTTTCTTTACTCCCAGCCTCTTCCCCTCACCGCACCCAGTACCCTTGCCCAACCTGTCCAATTCAAAGTTCCCTCCCCCACTCCCTCCCACTCTTCCTCCCCAGGCTCCATATCCCATCTCAGTCTTCTCTCCCACACACACACATCTTCCCCTCCTCCCCAGCATCTTGCCACAGTCTTAGCCCAGCCAGTCCCAGTTATCCCCTTATGTCAGATCCTTTTCAGATCTTTCTTTTTCTCCACACTGTTTTCTAGTCCCAGTCTCTCTCCACTCCCAGTGTTATCCTGCAGCCAACGTCTCTAGTCCCTGCCTCCATTTCCCTCACCAGCTCCGAGACCCAGTCTTCCCTCTGCAGGTCCCAGTCTCCTTGCCCAGCTAGTCCTAGTCCTCTTCCCTCCAGCTCCCAGTCTCTCTTCCCTCCTCTTCCAGTCCCTATCTCACCAGATTTCTTGTCTCAATTTACTCCTTTTCCTCACTCTCAACTGGCTTTTGTCGCATGTGCATTTGAGACATATGGGGTGCCAGCAGGGGGTTAAGAGTGCAGGAGAGACAGGCTTCAGTTTTGATGCTCATCCCAGGCCCAGAGCAGCCATTACAGAAAGAATCCTTCTAATCCCCATTGCCCTGTGCTGGAGCATGCTCAGTCACTCTGTGGGAATGGCACACACAGCATCTGGTCAGCACTAGCAGTTGTGAAAGGAGAATGGATTCTTTTGAGAGGTTCAGTGAGGATTCTTTTGAGATTTTAGCTATTAAGCTCTAGCAAGTCTCTACTGAACATGTGCAAACTGTGATTTTTTTCAGATGCTTGTAACTTGGCCAGATTTGGGTGGCTTTTTTTTGCAGGTCACAAAATACACATCCCTACCCCATTCACGTCCCTGATCCAAAGTGTAGGGGTGCTACAGCAAAGTAAAGGTTGCCAATTTTTTTTACATGGGGGAACATGTTTTTCCTAGCCTTGATTAGAAATGGTTGAACCAGCTGGTTGAAATTATCCCCCCAAAAATTCAGCCTGAGGTGGATACCTGCATTTCAACCCAAATGGTTATAGTTTGACAAAACTATTAGCAACTGAAAATCATGGTTTTATAGTGGAAAGCATCAAACGCCTTTAATAAGTTAGTGCAACCAGCCCCTCCTTTCATTTTAAGCTTTGCTGCTGCTCACAAACACCTTCTCACAAAGCCTGGGGAAGTGATGTAATGTTTGCATTGATAGCTTTGGTGTTGTCATGACAGGTCATCACATTCTGATGCAGTGTCTTGACATTGTGACAGGATCCTCCCACTCAAATACAATTTTGGAATTGTTAAGCCTGCCAGCTAATCTTGCAGGCTGTTGACAGATCTGAGGCAATTTGATCTGTCCTTCAAAATTCAGCCTAAATGAAGGCACAAGATACCAGATTCTGGCAAGTGTCTTCCACTATACAGCCCACCCCACTCCCATAATCTCACAGCTGTAAAGATCACATTTCCTCATGACCCCAGCCTCAGCAAGAGCAGAACCAAGGGAGGAAGGCACCATTATCCACACCTGACATAGAAACTAAATTTTCTTGAATTTGTTACTTTGACCTTAGATTCCTTCAGCTGCAGTTAATGGACTTTTCAATGGACGTTTAATGGTAGTTACTTGGTTGCCTCACCAGAACTTTCACCCTCTTCCTCACCTACTCCCTCTTCTCCATGCCTACACTTTTTCTTCCCATCCATTTCTTCTTCTTCATTTTTCGCTCCCTCCTTCAGTGTTTTTTAGCCTCCTAAAAGCACCCACTCCCCACTAAGATGTATGTGTGTATGTATATAGATATATAATGAGAGAAGTGTTTATGTAAAAATAAGAGGTTTAAACAGGAAAAAAAAAAGACAGACGTTCCAGTAGAAATAGAAACCATTCAAGAGTTCAAAAAGTAGAAATGGGCAGAAATAAAAAACAAAATAGCTTGAATATCCCACTTTTGCAAGCTTCTGTAATAATTTAATGTTTTAGTTTTGTGACCATTAACCTCATTCTCCCGCCACCTTCTCTTATTGTTAGTTTCCTACTGGTTACCTTTTTAAGCTCTTTTGGGGTCATTTAATCATATGTCTGCCCTTAATATAATAGATCCCTGATTCTGATTTCCAGGTGCTACCCGAATATGAATAATAGCATGCATGTGAGCTCCTACCAGACCAGTGTCCAAATGCACAAGTCAGATCAGATGTGTTGTGTGTGTGTGTGTGGGAGAGGGGGAGAGAGAGAGAGAGAGAGAAAGCGCGCGCACCAGCAACAGGAGACTGCAGAGCTCTGGAATGAGTGCTTATTAATTTATGTTCTGCCATCATAGCAGGGGTATAAAAATAAGACTGTTTCACTGTGTAGTTCTAAAACATACTAGCATTCAAAGAACGTTCCTGATGTGGGTCGTGAGTTCAAGTGTGGCCTACTTTGTGAGCTAACTACTTTCCTTGTCCCTTTGATTAAATACAAGTTATTACTGAAATATTTGTCACTGAGATTTAATTGTCTAGTTCAGAAGGTTGCTGACTTAGATTTCAGAATCTGCTGCATTTACTACTCTACAGCATAACTAACTAGCAATAAGTAAGAAAAGAAGTCACAAACACAGCTGCTGCACATCCAAGATGCTGGTAAAAAGAGGGCTAAGCCAAGTACAACGTTGGTTGTGATGAAAAGAAAGGCCTGGATGCCTTTTGACCAATGCCTTGTGTTGTGATGAAGATTCTCTTTATTACTGAAACATAAATTCCACATTTAAAAAAATAGAGTCCTCAACCCACCCTTTCTAAATCTCATGATATTTAAAACTTGCCATAGAAGAATATATTGCAATCTTTAATATAAAAAAAAAAAAGAAAGAGGAGAAGAAGAAGAAAATAACTTGTGTTAGCTGAGAGAGTGAAGGAAAACAGAAAATGACATTTTTTCTAGTGTTTCAACCTAGTCTGATTTTTAAGTTTTCTAAGCAAAGGGGCTTCTATCACTTTCTTGGAAAACTGTTCCACATCATAACAGATCTTACTGTCAGGATGTTTCTGAAAATTCAGCCTACATTTTTCTTAGTTTCATCCTATTACTTCTAACTATACCCCCTTTCATCATAATCATCAAATAATTTCACTAGCAATGATGAATACATCCTTCAGATATTTGTAGACCTTTATCATGTTTCTTGTCTTAATCATTCCTTAGTTCTTCAAAAGCTTTTTTTTCACATTGATTAGCTCTTCTAGGTTTCTTCGGACTCTCCAGCCTAGCCATCTGATTTTGTTTTTTAACATCTTAATTGTTTTTCTGTGAACTTACTCCCATTCAGTATGTTTTAAGTAAAATGCCCAGAATCAAACATACTAATCCAGGTGCAGTCACACCTGAGCTACACTGAGAAGAACTATACCTCCCTAATTTGTGTTACAATGTTTCTTTAAATGCAGCTCGAGATTGGTCTTTTTATAGCCATATCACATTACAAATGTATGTTGCAGAGTTGTCAGCACTTGATTTTATTACAAATCTGACAGTATTTTGTACATCTGTAAAACGGTGGTTCCCAAACTTGTTCTGCTGATTGTTCAGGGAAAGCCTCTGCCAGGCCAGGCCGGTTTGTTTACCTGCCGCATCCGCAGGTTCTGCCGATTACGGCTCCCACTGGCCGCGGTTCGCTGCTCCAGGCCAATGGGAGCTGCTGGAAGTGGCACGGGCCAAGGGACGTACTGGCTGCCGCTTCCAACAGCTCCCATTGGCCTGGAGCAGCGAACTGCGGCCAATGGGAGCCGCGGTTAGCCGAACCTGTGGACGCAGCAGGTAAACAAACCGGCCCAGCAGGGGCTTTCCCTGCACAAGCGATGGAACAAGTTTGGGAACCACTGCTATAAAAAGCCCAGTTCTTGGACTCAGTTGAATACATAGGAATCTGATTTTGTTTGCAACACACACATAAAATTAAGTTTTTGTGTCTGTAACCATGAGAGCTAAAGATGAATCCACCTTCTCTTTTTGGAGCATTTTGAAGACAAAGAAACAATGCATTGTTTGTGTCTAAATAAATTAATAATAGTAGTCGATCTTAGTATTATTTCTTTGTCTTCACCAATAATTGCAGATCTTCCTAAATTAGAATAGATTCCAAAGTTGTTAGATTTTACCTTAATACCAATCCCTGCCTTTACTACACACTACCCCACATGACAGTGCACTACCATTTATCATTACCTCTTGAGTATAGTCTCAGTCTGCATTACATTGTTTCCAGACAGGCCATTTGAGTTAATTTGCAAATAGTTCTGAAAACACTAGTTCCAAACATGGTGCTTCCTCTTGCAAGTCCTGTTGAGTTGAATGGAGCATTATTAGTAGGCATTGTGCTCAGTAGTATTTACAGAATCAGGCCCTGAATTTTGTAATTCTGTCCAGAGCTGCAATAATGTTTGGCAAATTTTATTTTCTAAGTTTCATTGACTTTTTTGGTTCTCTGTAGCTGTTCATTTTACTGGGGACAGAGATAAACTTATGGCATAATAATTGACAAGGTTACTCTTTTCTTACTATTTGAAAGTCAGTTCTACCTTTGCTTTTATTCAGCTTTTCAATATCTACTAGATATTTCCCAAAACTTTTCATAAATTGCCAATGCAACTGTAAATGTATAAGCTAATTTCCTTAACAGCCATTAAAATGCCCGCTGAGGTTTTTTTCTAAATAACCTTTCTTTTGGATTTTATGACTCACAGGCTCGCAGATGGGTCAGGGGCTGTGGAGAGTGGCTAGGAACCAGCAGCTGCAACACCAAGGATACAGTGGGCAAGGCTATCTCACCAGAGAGAATGGTAGAAGATTAGCTACTAACAGCATTTCAAACACAAGTCACCGTAAACAAGCCCAAGGAGGAATTGACATCTATCATCTGTTGAAAACAAGAAAATCTAAAGAACAAGAAGGATTCATTAACCTGGAAATGCTGCCCCCTGAGCTTAGTTTTACCATTTTGTCATATCTGAATGCAACTGACCTCTGCCTGGCTTCTTGTGTCTGGCAGGATCTTGCTAATGATGAGCTTCTCTGGCAAGGGTAAGTTAATGTGGGGTCATCTGCATGGGATAAAGAGGATTACTAGATTGATTGTTGGTTGTCACACTGTTTACCCTTTTAAACAAGGTTTCAAATGTGAAAAGTTACTGTTTAACTCATGCTAATTAACTGTTTTATATATTTTTAAGGATTTCCTATTTGTCTTTTTCCAAACAAATACTACCCAGATCAATTCAGACTTGACAGGGGAAAATCTGAGCTCAGTGCAAATAGAGATCTATGTGAAAATTATAATCATTCTGTTGTTTGTGGTATCACTTCTAGAAAGAAGACTAATGGCTTGTCTTCACTGCAGTGTAATTCAAGGTTTGCCCCTAATCCAGCTCCCCCCATGCACACACAAAATATTATAGTTCAGATTCAGTGGTACTTTAAATTTGAGCTAGCTGGCCCATCAACAGATGTGGGTTGAAGCTCAAGTGATTGCGATGCTGGAGTTGATAATGTAGAGGTAGCTCAGCTAGTCTGTGCTGCTCAAGTGTTGTCTGCAGTGTTGTCATTCTCACTCAAGCTAGAAAGGCATTAGCTTGAGTTATCTATGCTCACTTTAGCACTGAAATGAAGACAAGCCCTCTAGCACACTGGTGTCTCTACAGGTGCTTTTCATTGCCCACTGTGTGCCTGACAACAAAAATGTTAACCTTTGTTGTGCACAGTGGGTCTAAGTTCAGCATATAGAATCTAAATGGAAAAGCATCAACAAAGAGAAAGGATTGATGCAGTAAAGCGGAATTGTCATATTGCAGTGGCAGTAAGTCTACATTCCACATCACCTTTATGTAGTCAGTAATGAGAAGAAAAGTCAGGAATCCATTGTCTCCGTCAAAAATAGAGAACTTAAATTTAAAACGCTATAAAAATTGATTTTACAAAGTTCAGATAAGAGTCATCCTTTCGTAAGACCCAGTTTCAAATTAAATGAACATGTCGTTGAAACTGCAAGCAGGCTCTGGCCAGCACTGAGTCCTGACCTGGACTGAGCTTCTAGAGGCTGAGGATCAGGTTTATAGTGCCATGGTCAATTCTACTTTGCTTCAGCCAGTGGGCTCCTTCTGCCTTTCCTTTCCATTCTGGGTTGGTTGGTTGTTTCATATTGTGTGTGATTTTTAAAACTTGTTTTAGCTGTTAAAAACAGTTTGCCATCTTATCTTCCTCTGGTCAGGAAGAAGTAAGGAACCAACAACTACCACCACGCCTGGGCACAAGAATTAAACATCTGGCAATTTCACACTTTACAGTGGAAAGGTGCAGTGATGCACTTCTTGCACCCAATGATGCTGTGTAAATGTATAAATATCAAAACTTGCAAGCCCTCTCACATGACCTAACATGAGTCCATTTGTGACTGGGTATTACTGTTGTTTTGTCCTGGTTCCATAGAAATCTTAGACTAGGCACAGATATTCCCATTAAAATAAAAGTGTATACATAAAGCATAAAGACTAAAGGAAGAAGAAAAGAAATCAGCTCTTCAGTCTATACTGTATAGTTGAATCTTCTTCTGTTTTTTCCTTTGAGGTATATTATACATTTACATGGGAAAAAAAATGTAAGAATGTTGTTTAGGTTACATAGTCAAGCACTCAAATGTTAGGAAATGTCAGAATTAACACCATCTGTGCAGTCTTTGTTCAGCTCCCTTGTGCATATGGATTATAATACTGTCATTAATTACGTGATCCCATATAACTTTTCACAGGGCCTTGCCTCATTTAGTGCATAGGATGACTGGTTATCAATTAATGAGCAGCTATTCGATATTTTTTATCCCCATTGTTCAATATGCCAAGTATTTTCATACTAGATTTATTCCTATTTTGGTAGGTTGTGCAAATCCACTTGGGGACACTGCTCTATATACAATAAGAATCCACCTCTAGGGTTTTCTTTTAGAAGATTGTATATGCAGCTGGATGAGGGCAGTCTTACCTTTAATGCCAACCCTGATGAGGTAAGTGGAGTATTGCTAACATCAATAACAGTTGCAGTAATTTTAATACAGTTTAAAAAAAACTGTACATGAGACCATTGAACTTGTAGCAACATTAGAAGTCAATTTTTAATGGCTACTGTGTTGTACTATGTGAATCCTGAATACTAAGTTATGGCCCTATACTGATCTTTTATGCTTACAATTCCCAGGCATATCATTTACTTGCTTGACTCATAAGTACTCTGCCCAGCAGTCTAACAGATGTCAGAAATTCATAACCACATCCTGACATGGGGGTGGGATCCTGGTAAATAAGACCATGGGCAGTTTCAAAAATGGTTGTGATATGCCCACAGAAATAAATGTTTAAAAAATCTTATTATGTTATATGGCCTTTATCCAGCTTTCATTGAAGTCAATGCCGAAACTCTCATTAACTTCAGTGGAGCAGGATCAAGCCCTAAATGCAGATGAAACCTGCCATAGAGTGGAACACCAATTGAATCTAGGATGGTGGGGACACTGTTCATAAGTCCTCTAATTTCAAGGTGCAAATGTTGAAATAATATCTGTTAACTTACCCTGCCTATAACATATACTATAAAATTACACTAATGGAACAAAACTGTTAAAGGCTGAACTTTTGTAAATAGAACTGATTTTTATTTTTCTGAATGCTTCCTTTTTAATAAACATAACTCATTCTGTTATGTTAAATATGTACATTTATTTTAAATAAATCTCAGAACTAAACAAAAGTTATCTATTCGTTTGGTTTTGATTAGTTATATGAATTAACTTCTGCTTTTTCCCAATCTAGCCACATCTTTGCTTGTGTAAGGAGAAATTTGAGAGTTGAACCAGGTTTAACCTAGGATATACGTGGTAAAAACCCCACCAGCATTTTGAAAATATTCCCTTGTGTATAAAATTAGACTCCTCATGCATCACATTTCCTGCAAAGAGATGGTAAATCACCCTGAACAAAACTGAGTTTTCACTTTCTAAGTATATTTATATAATAAAGACACACAAGTGGTAATTGGATAAATCAGTTTTGCGTTTAGAAACAAATGATTCGCTATGCCAGTATCATACAGATAATGTTAACATACAATTTCTGGACAAAATTATAAAGCAGTCATATAAGCCAATACAGCAAAGTGATTTGGTTTAAATTCTTTGAGTCTCATTTGCCCTGGCACACATTTTTTTTTCTTGGACTGCTGAAAGCCATGCCCTTTTTTATAGATGACAAAATATAATACTCAGTTCTTTTGATACTGTACAAGAAGAGGGCAGAATACTCTAGACTCCCATTGAAGTTATCGGTATCTTGCAGCTCAGGTTAAGAATGATTCATATATTAATTTCCAAAATAATCTTAGTGGAGATACTACTAGAGAAGAAGTTTTACAAATGAAACTTTACACTGAGATATTTAAGATTTGTTTACAAGAGTACAAGTGCTAACCCTAGGCCAAGGCCAGGCCAAGTCCTAAATCTGGTAACAGCTCTGCCTACATACAGTTCCCCCTGCAGTTTTAATTGGATATAATATTATTCTTCACTTCCTGTCCTAAACTGCAATGTGCAGTTACGCTCCAATTTAGCGGTAAAGTAATTTTTGTATAGTGTAAAGCACTTTGGGATTCTTTAGAATAAAATGTACTATATACAAATAAGTAATTTTTATATTAAATGAAAATTAATAATTTGTAAATATTCTATAAAATAGGCTAATTTATATATTAATTTTTTATAATACATTTGCTACTTCAGAATTCATGATGGTCCATTTGTCAATTGAAATATGAACAGTCAGCTTCAGGTCCCTTGAGAGCCTGGAATTTCATAGTATCTCCTAGGCGCTTCTGGTCTTCTCTCCTTGTGGAGCACCATAGCCTGGCAGGAAGTGTTCTGGGTCTGAAAGTTCCAAGAGCATTCACTTGTTTGTTTTGTTTACAACTGTGATATTGGCAGAATTATTACTATAAGGACACTGTGACTGATATGATATGAAATGACATTCCATTATTACAAATCCTGTGTCTAAAAACTTCCTGCCCAACTCTGCTTTACATTTAGTAACAGACCTGATTAAAATATTGTAAAAATAAGAATACTTACGGCCACAGGAGCAAGATTCTCCAAAGGACACCGCCCATGTCATGAAAATGGGTAACCAAGCTCCACAGCAACAGCTCCAGAGCTAGCAGTGGCTCACGGGGTGGGGGAGAGCGTCTGCACACTTTGTGGTAGGATTATCTGGTTCGCCATTGTTGTGTGCATGGCGTTGTGAAATCTGCTGTATATGCTGTATTGAATGTGTGCATGAGCTTGCATAATTCATGGCAGGTGACCACATTCTACTGAAAGATGTGCCTGACCACGTGTTTACACATAACATAACCTCCTTATGCATGTGCAAGACTTATTTTTAATTTTTATTCCATTGGCAGTATCCTCATAGCTAAAATCTATTTTGTTTTTTACTTCCAAGTGTATCAAGAATTTTAAGAGTTTGAGAATTATTTTTTATAATAGGCCAACTTAATTTCTGCCAATATATTATTCTAAATAATGTACAGTGTGTGAAACTTTCCCGCACAATACTCATTCCATATCATGCAGTTATTACTCAAAGTTTGGAGGTGTCATGGGTAGATTTAACTTTCTCTCTAAAATAATCATAATCATAAAGTATGCTTCCAAAATTATTATGAGGCACAGTTATGCACTTAAACGATAAGTGGAGGTGGGAGGGAGAACACTTGCCTCAGAAAAGATGCCCAATTTCTGTTTTACTCCTAACATTAATAGTCTTTACTGAATTCCTGGTTTTATTAATGTTTTCCTTCGTGGATAAAAGGTGAAATTTTGGCCTCACTGAAGTCTATGGTAAAACTGTTATTGACTTCAGTGGGCCCAGGATTTCACCCATACAATATAATAATGTCCTAAATTGTAGTGAGTATAGTGTGTCTATACTTAAGTTGGACATTCAGCTTACTTTCTCATCCTCCTCCTTTTTTTTTTCAATTGCTCCTAATTTTGTCGGACTAATTCATGATTTGGTTGGTGAGGGGGATTTTGAATGCTTTCCAGTTTAGAAGTGATTTTTTTCAGAAGTTTTGAGCAAAATTGATTAGTCTGTTTTGTTTGTTTGTTTGTTTTAGAGTTAAGCTTATGTGCAGAAAATACTCCCTTTCCCATTTGTTTCTGTCCAAATTCTTGTGCAAGGTTAATTTAACAGCTCATGGTAAAAACATCAAATTGGTTTGTTTTATACATCTTTAAGGAATAAGCTAGAGGGAAATGTTCAGCTGCCTTAAAGTTATGAGAATTGGAAGTGGAATATCATATGTATGTAGTTTATAATTTTTTTAATTGACCTGAATGTCACATTTCAGGGCAACTGCATCTGTATTACCCCTCTGTGGTCCCACAAGGGCACCCACGCTAGGCTCTAGGCCACTCAGATGACTCCTTTCTTGAGTGGAGACATGCATCTCTGTCCCTCCTGACCAGGGCATTTCCAGGCTGCACAGTCCCCATACTATATTGTGCAGCAAAAGACAGATTTCCTAAGCATGTCTGAATCACTTCTCTAATCAGAGGCAGCACACAGTGTAATTGCCAAAGTTCAGTTACAAAACTTAGTTCTTTCTAAGCAAGCATATTTATTCTTCAGGTAAAAGCATTACAGAAAAAAATTAAAAACAACAGAAAACCCCTACATGCATGCTAATAAGCTGACCAGAGATGACTCCCTAACTCCAACAAAAGCTTTGGATGGTGATTAGTCCTTCAAACCCCACCCGGGTATTTCCCGTGGTCATAAATTCATCGCCGTTTCAGCTCAAAAATAGCATCCAAGTCTTATGAGGTCTCAGTGGGCCAAAGATCTTTCAACCCTTCCCTTAGGGTTAGGCTCCCCATTGGGCCAAAGGTCCTGTCCACTTGCTGTATAAGAAGGAGGACTTGGAGTCAGTTTTAAATCAGCCTACATAGTAAAAAATCCGTTGTGTTTTTTTTTTGTCTGTTTTTGGTCTGTTGGTGCCTGGAGAATCCAGTTTGAACCAGTATGTGCCAGTATCTCTCCAGGTGGTGAAGTTCTTTGGAGGTGTTACAACCTGAGTGAATTTGCCTAACCACCCTCACTGTTCTTAGTTCAAAGGGTTGTAATTTTCTCTCTCTGTGGATTTATATACAATCCCTTAATATTACATTAAAAATTGCATTTTTAATACAAAGAACTCCTAAAATACTTAAGCTTAACTCAGTTAGGTTTGTGGAGGATACTGCAGGATAATGTCATATGTCACACTGAAAAGCAGAGTCGTCTAGAGTGCTGAACCACATTAGAAAGTCTATATTCAGGAGATGTCAAGTCAAAAAGCTCTGATTCTAAGAAATGGCAAGTTCTGGAAGCTGGGTAACTTTTAATTTTTTAGGCTAAAAATAATCCATAACGTACATATATTGACCTACTTTGTAAAATGCTTTGAGATATACAGATAAAAAGTGATATATAGATCTGTGGATCTCAAAGCATTTTACGAAGTAGGTCAATATTATTCCCATTTTACAAATGGGCAGACTGAGTCACAGAGAGGGGATGTGACTGGCCCAAGGTCACTCAGCAAGCCAGTGACAGAGCTGGGAATAGAACCCAGGTCTTATGAATCCCACTTTAGTACCCTATCTCCTCTGCCTCCCATGTTGAAAGACAGTGTTTTAAAGTCATATGCACCAGGAGGTAGAGTTCAAATTGAATGTTGAACATTATATCTGCATTTCTTGACTCCTGAATGATTGGTTTCTGAACCTTAATATGCTCATATAAATAATCTATAGTAATGTTGACACATTATGCCTTTTAATATGTTTAATGGAATATGTTTTAGTACATAAACAGTCATGTATTAAGCTTAACATTTAACCAGAAGAACAGAATAGTGCTTGGAAATTCCAGTCAGGGAGAGACCCCACTGTGCTAGGCACTGTACACAAGG